TCATCCGTATGCTCCCGAGCCTCGTAATAGGTTTCGGTCTCGGAGTCGCTCGAGAGGTCGTCGTGGTTTCAATGCTCGCGAGCATTAAGGCTCGCGAGATCGGGTATGGAACCGGCAGCGTCGGTCGCGATCACCGTCTTTCTACAAGACTCATAGTCCTCGACCACGTCCGGGACATCTTGGGACAGCGTACTCGATAGCTCTCATGTATCGTCCGCCGGGGAATATCCCAACCAGCGAACCCTGTAATGTTTCTCGACATGATTCTTCATGGGCACCGAGTCATTACTCGTCGCCTGGGGCTTGTGATCCTCGTGATCGACAATTCGGTCGACAATCCAGCGTCGCGCACCCGATGCATCAACTAAGGGAGGAGGCATCACGACGGAAGACCTCTGACGATGAGCGCCGATTCTCGCAATCGGGAGTCTGTACTGTCGAATAACGAGCCGCGCCTACTTCGCGCTGAAGCCGAGTAGTCGAAGAACGCCCCACTTGATGCTCGCGAGATGGATGAGAGAGCTCAAGATCGTGCGGTTGCTGCGACTGAGGCTGCTGAGCGAATTCGATGAGAGCAGCAGGTACTGGTTGAGCGCCTACGTCAACTTGAGACGACTGCGTTCGGAGGACTCCAGCAGATCGATTCTGAACGCGATCGGGCAGGACTTGGTCCCAGTTGTCGTCAGCGTCGTCGTCAAGGGATGTCGGATTTTAAGTCGGTACAGAAGAGAGTGGAAGATTCGAAGGGAGATCCACCGGTAGGTAAGCCTTGAGGCGCCCGACATAGAGCGTCGGGTGCAAACGCATCGATGTAGGTATGTCTAGCGTGTAAGCGTCACCATGCACCTCAACAACCCGAAATGGGCCAATATATCTTGGCGCTAACTTATTAGCGCCCAAATTCGTCACTGAGGTGTTCGGTAAACCACTTGTTGATAACAATACTCTGTCACCTTTTCAAAATGTCAACATATTTTTTCGACCTCTTTTGTCTGCATTACCCTTTTGCTTGTCGACTGCCTCTTGTAACGCATCACGCACAAATAGAGACGCGTGATTCCTTGTCGTAATAGCATAAAATTTGTTTACTGCAGCTGAACCGACAGGCGACAAATTCTCTTTAGGAGCAAATTTAGCCACGGAAGACGCGATGGAATGCACCGCGTCAGAAGTCGATATGCCGCTGGCCACGAAATTACCAGTATCAGGTGCATCGGCAGCAACCTTATTCGCATCGTAATCAATAATCAATAGTTTCGGCGGAATTCCATCGGTTGATACTCCCCCACCAAGCTTTGAGACAGGGTGCTCTGAAGCTGAGAGAGCAAGTAGCGCCGGAACGCGAGGATGTCTCGCGTTATTCACGAAAAAGGGCGTCAACCCGGTTGACGCATCGACAGCATTGTTGATTGCAAACTTTGCAAGTGGAAGAAACGAATTCCATGACGAGAACGATGTTGCATAACTGCGCAAGACATCTTCAAGCACTCTGTTCACACGCTCCGTTTACCCATCCGTCTCTGGATGGGCCGCCGTAGACATAAGCAACCGCCTGTCTAATAGCTAGAATAACTCGACCCAGAAAGCCGAAGTGAAACGCGGTTCACGGTCCAAAACAATAGATTCTGGCAAGTCGTGATGTCGAAAGATAAGATCAATGAAGATCTTCGCTGTCGTCTTCGCCGTAATGTTGGCGGAGACCGGAGCAAAATGCACCATTTTGCTGAATCGATCCACTAGAACCAATACGTCTGTGCGTTTCTGTTCATTCGGTGGAAGTCCAAAGATATAATCCATGCTGACCGAGCGCCAGGCTTCCGTAGCAATCGGAAGCGGACGCAATGGGGCTTGTGAAGACGGCGCGGGCTTCACACGCTGACAGGTTTCACAGGAGTGCACCCATTTCTGGATGTACTAATACATTCGCGGCCAGAAAAATACGCGAGAAATAGCCGCAAACGTCTTTTCGCGACCCAGGTGTCCGCCAGCTGGGCTGTCGTGAAATTCATGAACCAATCGGGCTCGAAGGTCGTCATCAGCAGGGATGACGAAACGCGGGAAATCAAAGACGTTCATCGTGTACGTCAGCAGCGGACCGTCAAGCGCGTAACGCTTGATCTTGCCGTGTGTCGGTTTCGTCAACTTCGCGAGTAATTTTTCGCTCGGGTCCCTGAGATATTTGATGATTCCTGCATAGAAGGAATCATTCGCGTAGGATTCAGCGATCTGAGTTCGGATCGACAGCACGGGGGTCGAAATCATCGCATTGAGCCCCAGCTCACTACAACACGCACAGACATCTTCGTCGTCATCAACATCCTCCGTTTGATGACCCATGTCGCGCCAAGGATCGTAATCAGGACGACGAGAAAGCGCGTCAGCGAGAATGTTATTTTTTCCAGGCTTGTAATGCACCACAAAATTATATTCGGCAAAAAATGACAACCACCGTGCCATACGCTGGGACAAGTGAGGAATCTTGACGGCGGTACGCAATGATGCGTGATCTGTGTAGATAAAAAACATCTCTTCGCCGAGCAAATATACTCTAAACTTAATTAGCGCGTAACGCATAGCCAAAAGCTCCTTGTCGTGTACCGGATAATTTTTCTCGGCAGGTTTTATCTGTCGTGATTGAAAACTCACGACGCGCTCTCGACCCTCGTCATTAAATTGCATGAGGGCACATCCGATAGCGAAATTTCTCGCGTTACATACGACGTGGAATGGCTTGGAGTCATCAGGTAGCATCAGCACTGGTGCCTCGGACAAGCTCTTCTTTACGGAGTCGAAGGCAGATTGATGTTCTGGCGTCCATAACTATACTGCGTCTTTCTTGAGCAAAGTCGATAATGGCTGAATTAGCTCAGCATAGTTCTTCGTATACTTATGCAAGTAATTCGCCAGACCGAGCCATTGACGTAATTCATGTTGGTTCCTGGGCGTTGGCCAGGAACAGATCGATGAGCTCTTCTCATGATCAGCGCAGACACCTTCCTTGCTAACGTAGCAACTGAGTACTGTAATCTCGGGAGCGCAGAAGACACACTTCTTCAAATTCGGATACAATTTATTCTCGCGCATAAATCTAAACACCTGCTTCAAGTGTCGAAGGTGTACCTCCGTAGCGCTAAGCTTTTGCTCAGCGCGGCTGTGAACAAAAATGTCGCCAATGTACCTCGGTGCAAAGTCGTGGAGTGGACGAAGTACTTGTGTCACCATCTGATTGAACGTATCTGGAGCATTCATAAGACCTTGTGGCATGACTAACCACTCCCAAAGAATTCCGCTTGGGGTGCTGACCGCAGTGAACGGAATGTCACTGTCCCTCATGGGGATCTGATAGAAACCATCTGTCAGATCTATGGCGCTGTAGATCTCGCTCCCAGACATGGTAATTTATACCTTGTCTTTTTCGAGGGATAGGCGTTTTAGCCGGGATCGTGGCGTCATTCAGCTTGTTGAAGGCGTGCACAATGTGCCAACCGCCGGTGGCTTTTTTCACACAGAAAGTCGGGCTCGAATGTGGCGAGATACTCTCGCGGACATGGCCAGCCTTGCGGCGACCCTCGAAAAATTCATCGATAGCGATGACTTGATCGCGCGGTAACGGCCACTGCCGTGTCACACAATATTTCGATCCTGGCACGAGATCTATCTCGTGCCGCACACCACGATCCGCCGGAAGCTCAGCTGAAAATTCTCCGGGAATTATCGGCGTACTCACGGGCGATATTGTATACAGGGTTGCCCGAACACGAAGAGCATCACAAGACTGTGCCGCGAAGCTTTCTTCGCGCGCTGATTTAGGCTCATCGCTCTTCGGGCGAGCCTCCAGAACTTCTTCACTGGCTGCTTCTGTGGCTGAAACAATGCACACTTGCCCGATGTTGTCAGCCTTGAGGTCGTGAAGAAAATCTTTCCATGCAAGGTCTGGCAGAGATGTGATATCTGCAGCAGTGCACGGTGGGCTCGCTACCTCATTGTAGCGGCCACGATGTGGAGATCCCTCCATATATTCAAGCGCGCATACGGATTCCGTCACTACGGAATCAAATGCATCAGCATGTTGACGTGGATTGCGTCGTTTCGGTGATCGGCGTGCTCCTTTCTTGCGTTTTCTCTTGCGTCTCGAGCCCCTGCTCGAGAGAAGGACGGAAGCAGGTCTGAGTGCAGCGATTTATTGAAAGTATCGTCGACGGCTTGGTGACAATGAGAAATGTCGAAGTTTATATGTTTTAATTGAACTGCCTATGACTGTGACTCACAGCTCAATCCAATATTAGGCTTATTAAATTACACGATGGGCTTTTCTTGTGCACATGATTTTTGTAGCCGAGTGATACCACTATCAGTCGATGAATTTGATCGGCATTGGTGTCTGGTACAGCTACGGCAGATGCATGTTGAGACTGCGCCAGTTGGAATGAATATGGCTTTGAAGATGATCGCAGACGTTTAAGACAATACCTTTCCCATCACAAGCATGGCTGCTTGACATGCCTTGGCTGTCCCAGAGGCCGGTATACGCAATTCTATGCAATTTCAGACACGTGGCCGGCCAAAGAGGTCGACACAGCGACTTCTATCACAGTTTGAGCATGTTGCCGCTGCTTTAATAACTTCTGTGTGATGCCGGCAATGTCGAATTTCCTAACAAATAGGCCAAAATGCCCCTGCCTGTTCTGGTCAAGAACTCGTCGTCGTCAAGCATTAGCAGCAGCAAAAAGCAGTAGATGTAGAAGCACTCGGTTAGAAGTTTAGAATTGACAAAAAATTATGACGTTTTAAAGTATTTTTGTATTAATGTAATTTCATTTGTCCATTTTAAATTTTGATTAATCAGATCTTGGGTAATTAGCAAGAAAGTACGGATAATTAGCGCTCCCCCAAAGTATTTGTATAATTTTTGCAAAAATTGACCGTCACTAAAGAAAGTAATCAAAAAATTTTAAACAATGACTATCACGTCAATTTCAACCTAAGAAGTTCCTGTCAACATGACGGACTCGTCTTCACTTGGCCGTGAGAGCGTCCCAAGTGACAAATCACCCAGAAACCCGGCTGAATCTACAACTTCACCACATGCACCATTGCCATTATATTCTGACAACAATAATAGTGATATTGACGGAGATATGCGACGTCAAATGGGTCAACTGGTGGTTGACACCCAACAGCTTATTGACTCGCACTTGACGCTCTTTCGTGCTGGTCTCTTAGTGACCATCGTAACGTCAATCACAGTTTCCATTAAACTCAGCGGTCTACTGAATAAAGTGAATAATGTCGAAGAAATATCGTCGTGGCAGTTTGCACGGCGAAAAAAGCTGCGAGTTCGGATGATCCGGCAGTCACGACAGGACCCAAGCATCTTTTACGTGTACCACACGCCGTTTCTGCGGCGTATACTTCTGCGAGATGAGTTGCCTCAGAATTTAGTTGGTGGTAGTGGAGAGACAAAGGAGAGTGACTTAATTGCTGTAAGGCCTTTTGGTGTGCAAGTTGATGAGAGCTCGGAAGAATGGGTCTGGTCGAATTTTGTATCGTCGCACCGACCATTGACGATTCAATTGTTACGCCGGTAAGTATACGCTGTAAGAGAAAAGTACAAGTAGTGGTATAATTAACAAAGGTTTTTGTATATGATCGACAGGATTCAAGTCAATGGTAGCGAGAGTGTGGCGTCTTGTAATATTGCATTGACGACGGTGCGTTGGACGTAGGTTGTAAATTACGAGCTTATGGTACAACCTAAATGTTGGTTGTTTGTTGCAATGTGCAGCTGCCATTGGCAAGAGATTTTGCTAAAGAGTTGGTATCTCATGGATACGCTGAGTGTATTCCAGAGAATCTTGAAAACTACGACAATAGATCGTAAGTATCGAATGCTGACAATTGTAGCAATTCCGTGCTCATAATCTTAACATCTGCTCTCCTTAGAAACACGGCAATGTCAACGCTTGCACAGCGTCTCAAAACCCTCAAGGTGGCTCAAAAGCGTGCTCAGACTATGCAATATGGCATTTGGAAAGATTGGCAAGAAGAAAAACTGTCAGACCGCGTCATCTCTGCCAGCAAACGAGTTACCACCAAGGGATTGAAAAAGCTACTCGACAGTATTTGTCGTTAGCAATGCAAAGTTATTTCATTCAATGACAGTCTCAATACTGTTCAATTCTTCCTTATTATTGCCTTCACTTTTAACCGTAGCAACGAATCGTGGTGTCGCATCCCTTGTCTGCACATTGTCCCCCCTTCTCCAAATATTTCTGGTGATAACCCTCTGCATCCCAAAATTTTGTGGCTTCTTTAATCTCAGTGACAATAGGCTTGCTTAGCGTCTTCTGATGCTCCTCTTTAGAAGCCAAGGCAGCGTCACGCTGGCCCTCATTATGATAGTAAATCCCCGAACGGTATTGCGTGCCCTGGTCGTTTTTCTGGCGGTTGAGCGTCGTGGGGTCGTGAATGGACCAGAATTTCATCAGTAGAGCATCGTACGACACTTTTTCATCATCAAACACGACCTTAATGGCTTCTGCATGACCGGTCTGACCAGAACAAACCTGGCGGTACGTGGGGTTATCCACGGTACCGTGCGTATAGCCCACGGTGGTCTCCAGAACACCCGGGACACGATCGAACGCCAGTTGAACACCCCAGAAACAGCCGGCAGCAAACGTGGCAACATTTTGTTCCTGATTGTTAGCAGCCATCGTAATAATTCGAGATTGGTGCAGGAAACGACGGGAAACACTGCGGAAGTGAGGAGCTACACTGAGGATATTGAGCATAAATTGGAAACTGATGAAGAAGGTCTTGTGATTAGCTTATTCGATTATAGAGGTAGACCAACGGTACCAACGGCGTTTTGTATTTAGAAATTAGCATCCTACTGACAGGGATATTTATAAAAAAAGCCTGGGACAATATCTAACAAAATAAAAATGAACTCCCACAACGTCCAAGAATAATTGTGCTGTATCTACTTTGACCTTTTATGCAGAACTCGCATGCAATTGACCCAGTCAGACTCATCAACTGCTTGCTTTTTGCACTATGTACAATGTATGCTGGCATCCGTTACAAATTCTTCCGATTGTACCATTATCATCACTTCTTTTCTTCGGCTAAGGTGCCTCTGTAACAAACTCGAAGTGGAAGTGAACTTGTAAACGTTTATCGTAGTTTATCAACATTTGCAAGAAATACACAACATGATAAAAGCAGTATAGCCATGAGTCGCCATTGGCTTTACCAAAAAACTTGCTGATCTCTTGCACAGTGCCATGATGAGGGGTGCTGACCTCGACATTTAGTTACATCGTCTCGAATTCAGTTGTTTTGCCCCAACGAAATCAACGAGATTTTTATAGAAATTGCACCGTCTCATAGGTTGAGACTTTGCTCCTATGTATGTACTAGATGAACCTGTATATTGCGATGACGACTTTGCCTTGCATCAAAGAATGAAAGTGACGGCTCGCAAATGGTGACGGCTCAGCTATTGCGTGGCTTTATAACGTCTTTGAGCAATAATTGCTGAACATTTTCATATATATCGTTCAGAGTTAGAAGATCAAACAGTGAGCGATGTTTGTAATTGAAAGGTAAACACGACGGCTGCAAGCAGATGACGTTGTATTGTAATTTTCCTTTTATTTTACCGGTTCATCTCGACCGTAGCGAAAGCCATTGTTGCGTAGTCCGATTGTTTCTGTTTCGTAAATGTGCTGTTTCTGTCTTAGAGTAGTTCAATCTTTTGTGATCCGGAGGTTTAGCCGTTCTTGGTAAACTGTGATGGTATAATGCAGCATTTGAATCCAGCGTGTATTTTGTTTGTTCTCAGCAGGTGATTTAGTTGATATTTGGGTAAATTGAGAATCTTGAAAGTGAAACGAAATCGAAAATCAAATGGTATCAAACGCTTTCTGTTACGGCATCGGTGGCGATGCAGTCGGCAGCAACTTGATGTTTTGTCCAATGAATGTTAACGAAAAGACAGGACACAATCGTTTGACTGGAATGCCACTGAACGCAACGCCAAGATTCCGTCCATTCACGTAAAAACTGAGTCGTCGGTACTTCATATCAAGTAGTACACCAACCACATCTCCGTCTTTGCATGGATCCGAATAGTACTCAATCACGTCATGGAACTTGTGTCCAGTAGCACATGAAATACCCCAAAACACTCCACGACTCAAGATGCTCGTATTTAGTGTCAAATCCGCTGATGCGACACCAATAAACACACCGTCTCCACCTCGTGCATTTTGCAACTTCACTTCCCAGTACTTGATCCCACGAGCTACTTCACAATTACCCAGCACCAAACCACACCCTTTTGTTACTTGTACTGCCTGCAGATAGTTTTCCTGAAGTAACATAGAGACGGAACACTTATTCTTATCAAATTGCACCATAGGAGTCTGTAACACTAGTACTGGATGTTCTGGACCTGCTCCAATAGTAGACTCTCCAAGCTTGAGTTGTGGTAGAATCTCGTGTTTGCTCACTGAGTCTGTCTGTACCAGTGTAACGGCGATCGTTGAACCCAGTTCCAACTGTTGTCGTACTGCGTCCACCATCTCTTGGCCCATACTAATTAGTGCAAAAGGCAGCGAGAATTTTATATGCTGCGTCTTGGATAAAGCATAGAACGTAAAGATAGGTACGGTCGCTATCAAGTCCGAATGAACATAAGCATGTCCCCATGGAAACTCGACATGTGCAAAGCCCTGACGCGAATGAAGACGTTCTCCTTCCGATGTCGAAACACTCTGTGCCTCATCTTCATTGAGATGCAACGATCCATAGCCAAAAGGTGTCGCTACGCGTTTTAGTGGTAAAGAACTCGAAGCACGAGACGCCATCATGTTGTTCTTGAAGTAGTAGCACGAAAACCTCTTTCTGCGTCTGTAACCACTTGAAACCTCTGAAAAAAGATAAACAAACCTGTCTTTTTCGATATTTCTAGTATCGATCATGTTTAGATACAACATACCAGTTGAAGTGACTAAACGAAACCCTAGTTGAAGTGAAAGAACCCTTCAACCTTGTTTTTTCTCATCGCATTCACTCTTGCACTTCATATGGGCGCCGTCTGCTGCCGCCACCAGGACGAGCCGTTGCTTTCTCTGCCTCGCGTGTCCGCCATGAGCCTTCATAGCAACCACTTATACGTACCTGCATCTCTAGCTGCCGCCTCTTCTGCCTCTGTGTCTACAGGTCAATCCCTAGCCAATTACGTCTCTTTCCCTTTCCCATTTCTTTCCAAGCCTCGGACCGTCATTACACCCGCAAAACGTGACAAGAAGGACAATAAAACGATCCACGACGAACAAAATTGTAAATCACCGAACGATCAGCAATCAAGAGCCATTGCAATGCCTTATGTAGGTCCACACTGGCGTCAGACGAGTCGAGGTACTTTCGATCCATTGCCTCTTTTTGAATTGAGTATACGTCATCTGTGTACCCATTTAGTGGTACACCACCAAGCAGCACTTGAAACTGTGATATTACCACCTGAAGTGGCTTCAAAGGTTTTACAATACTTACGACATCATGATATACTGGAAAAGGCTCATTTTCATGCTCTTGTACCCTTTTTACTATTGGAATGGAACTTGGCCAATCAACAAGAAGTCGAAGATGCGTGGTTTGATAACGTGCCAGTGACAACACTTGAAAAAGTCAAAAGTGTTGACGTTTCAGGGTGTATCCATTTGCAACATTTGGGTTCAGAAAGGTCATTGGTTATTAAATTACCAAAGTTAATGGTTGCAAAGTTTAAAGGATGTTCCGGACTTTTGAGAGAATCGATCGAGATGTTGCAGTTTTCAACAAAATTAACGAGATTGGATTTATCCGGCTGTAATAACGTGGATGACAAGACTCTCAAGACAATTAGCACGTTGGAATACTTGAAATCGTTGGAATTGGTGGGATTTTATTGAGGTTTTATGAAGTAGTTGACTATAGATGGATAACTGACGTTGTTTTTTAGATTGGGTGCTACAAACTAAGTGATGTGGGGTTCAAGTACTTGTTGAAGATGACAAAACTGGAAAAACTACGTCTAGGACGTTGTAGAAAACTGACGGATGATGCTTTTGATGGTTTTGCATCGTCATTAGTTGAGTTACGGGAGCTTGACGTTGCAAATTGCCGGTTAAGGTGGGTGCTTTTTTCTTTTGGTTTCAACATGAAAGTGAAAGACTCACGAGTATGTCATAATGTCTAGTGGTAAGACTATGCAGCACCTTGGTCGGATCAAAAGTTTGGAACTTCTTGTGATCCGTGGCTGTCAAGAGATTTCTAATGACTCCATGGAATCACTTCGTGGGCTGACAAGATTAAAGTACTTTGACGCGCGTCATTGCAACAAGGTTCATTCCATTCCAATAGAGTGGACACAGCTCCAAGTTTTGCTGCTAGGATACACAGCATTTGCCGAGTCAGATGCAGCTGTCTTGCAGTACCTAACCGGGCTACAAGAATTGGAACTTCGCACGTGCCGGATTATGAAGAGGTATGTAAAGACAAAACAATGCGCTGCGATGAAATTTACATATTTGATGTTTGTTTTTGTTTATAGAGGATTTCAGCTTATAAGCCGCCTGAAACATCTTGAAAGACTAGATTTGGGAGAGACCTCCCTAACAGATAATGAACTGCTGGAGATTTGCAACGGCAATAGAAACCTGAAGGCACTCAACATCTCGGATACAGAGGTCAGCGATTATGGAACGTTCGGGCTTGCAAAATTAAGAGAACTGCGCATTCTTCGCTTGGATACAAAGATGGTCACCAGTAGAGCACTAGCGAATGTATCATTCCTTTCGCGACTTGAAAAATTGGATCTGTTCGGCGCAAAGTATGTCCCAACTACTGTCCGTGGATGTAGCGGTGTCAATTACTTGAATTTATAGTAACTAATGACACGACTGGCTGTTGTGTATGTAGTATCACAGACAACGGGCTATTGCATCTCGTTCGGCTGCATAAACTTCAAGAGCTGTCAATTTGTGGCGGCAACATCAGTGACCGTGGCGTGGGGATCATTTCGAAGCTGACGTCACTGACATCCTTAAACTTGAGTCAAAATAGGTAAGAATGATTTGCGACCGATTTCTTTGACGATGATGGTCTGTACTAGTGGTAACATGATGTGTAAATCTTTACAGAAATATAAGGACCAAGTCGATGTTTTATCTCCGATCGTTGACTGGTCTGCGATGCTTGAACTTATCGAATACGGGCATCTCGGCTCTCTCACTACGTCACTTATCTCGTACGTATCGACGTATAGACTTGTACATACGACGTAGTGTCTTGATTCAAATGCTAATCGCGTTCATCTGACTCGTTATTGTGTTTTGCCTAGCCTTGAAGAAGTTGCAATTTCTTTCCGTCTACGGGTGTCCTTTGTCACAAGGCCATATTGATATCTTACGAGGTAGAGTACAACATATCATATTGTGTCTCAGTATTTGTTGCTGACTTGAGCTTTCTGGTGTTTCATCCGTCTAGAAATATTACCGGAGCTGAAATGCCTGCGATGCACATAATGAACTTGGCACTGTATAGCAGTTTGTTGTAAAGCTCTTCATTATATTGGATTCGCGAATATAAGCGCACGAAAATTTGGCTTGAAAGGCAACTATATGCTGTGGAGGTTCCAAGTGCTGCTTTAAAAGCTTGGGAACTGTTTCCGCTGTGCGCTCGTGATGAAGTGTAGCTGCTATCGCGGATACTTATGAGGAGGAGTAGCAGTGAATGTGTGATACTTACAACGATGCTAGTGTCAAGGAAATCCGCTTTGGCATACGATTATTAGTCGAGGTGGAAGATCTTCGAGACGAACTAAGGCGATTACGTTTGAGTCTAATACATGCAGCAGTGTTTGGATACTAGCACTTTACACTTGTCATCTTGTGTGTAAAGGTGGACAAAAAGCAACATCGACTAGACGAATGCAGAAACTGCATCCGTCTATTAGAGAATGAACATCCGAACTAGCCGACATGAAGCGAACAGTTCTACTAGCAGGTGAAGTTAGATGGTTGCACGAAGCCTGGAATTGTCTGATGCATTGTGGATGATCCGGACAAAATTGTGCAGCATTGCAAGAGTCAAGTAGATTCGCAACAACACACCGACGTGAGTCGTTTGCAACTCCAGACAACACTGTTGTTAAAATGAAAGGACACAGTAGAAGATCTTGAGCTGGAGTTCAAGACTCGAGTCTAGAGGACACCTGGAGACGCGAAAACTTTTTGAGATCGACTTGAGAAGGCCATGGCAAACTGAACGAGGCACAGAATATCTGCAAATGTACAAGAGATTTGAAGCGACTTGAGGAGCAAAGCTAACCTCTATTATGTGTGTGCTTACTGCTAAGCAGCTAAACAATGACAACCTTGTTTTGCTATTGGCAGCTGCGCGCAAACAAGTCCGACTGGAAGTTGAGTATCTAAGACAACTCGTGATAAAATGATACCTCGAAAAGGAACGATGTGACAGAGAAAGAATGGTAAGAATTTATTTGACGGCTTGCAACAGCATCTACGTGAAACACCAACACTCGAGCAGATAATTTTCATAAAATGTCGACCAGGCAGAAAGAACACTCGCTGTGTTCTCTCACGCTTTTGAGCATTACCTACGTCCATCTTGCATCATAATCGTTTTCTAGCTCATGCATTACATATCTTAGAAGCTAAAGTGTTGGTCCGGCGTGAATCCCAGCTCCTCAAGTGCCGGTAGCACCGCAAACTTTAGCATCGGGGGCGGGCCGCACATGAGAATTTGCACGTCCGATGCAGCCGCTGGCAAGTGTTTCTTGATCATTTCGGCGGACACAAAGCCCTTGGAATACTTCCATGCTTCCTCAGCTCGATCCACAGTGTACCAGAATTTGACATTGTCATGCTTTGCCGCCATTGCTTCAATTTCGTCACGACACAAGATATCGGCCTCTGTCTGGTTAGCAAAGAGCAAGTAAAACTCCGTCTTGTCCTCGGGGTCTTGCAGAGCACGACGTACTACCTGCAACATAGGGGTGATACCCGTTCCTCCGGCAATCATGCCAATCTTGGAGCTCTTTCGAATCTCAGGCACCACATCACGTACACGATGTTTAATGTGGATTTCACCCTTACCCATGTACGTTAATTTGCCCTTGGGTCCAGACACCTCAATGGTATCACGAATAGCCAAGTTTTCCAAGTATTGACTCATTTTTCCACCATCAGGGAATTTTGGGTGAACGTTTTTAAAGTACACCTTAATCACCAAATCAACATATCCTTTCGTATCATCCGAACTCACAGGTGTATACGACCGCATGACCAATTTACCAGCCTCATCAGTAAACCGAAGTGAAATATGTTGACCTACTGGTAAGCCCAATACATGCAATGGTGAAGGAAGAGCAAAACGAAAACGACGTGTATCATGTGACAGAATCTCCTTTTCAATGAGTGGAAGATGTACCGTCGGGGGTGAATCACCAATATTCGCAGGGGCTTGTAATGTAATGGGTGTCACATGACGAGGCTTGAAATTTGATATTAAGATCAAAATGGTCGTTCCTGCTACTAAAGCTACGCCTAATAAGACACGAAAATCATTATTCACTAGAGCCAATAACGAGTCCATCGTAACGACTACTTGTTATCTGATTTGTATGACTGGATACCGAAGGCATAAGGCCTTTATAATCCCATATTACATTATAAAGGCTTTCATTAGCAGCCAACCGTACGACTATAGGAAGGAATAGCATGAGCATTCGACGGCAAGTATTGGGAGGATATCGTCGATTATTACGAGCGAGTCGTCAAGCATTTCGAGATGATGCATACGCATTACAACAAGCTCATTTAACACTGCGTCAGAATTTTATTGACAATTGGCAAGTGACTGATAAAAAACAATTGGACGAATTGGTAAAGGGGATTGATGAGGCTGAGGGGATGTTACTCCACCATATTGTTCAAGGTCGTGCCAAGGAGACAAATGGAAACGAGGCCGTGCGTTTTGAAGTAAAACTCACGGATCCACAACGTCAAACCATGCGTAAAGATGAGGAGATGACACCATTGACGGAGAAATCTGGTAGTGAACCACTTGTGATGAATTCAGGAAACGTGTGTCAACGTCCGTCGTAGACGACAAAGGAGAGAAACAAAAAGAGAAGACATGATGATGCTTTACAGGAAGAAGAGGATGAGACATGGAGACACAAGAGAGAAAAAAACTGTGGTAGTTTGGAGGGTTTGACGTTATGGTAAAAGAAGACGGAAGAGTCTTGAGAAGAAGAGATTTTATTTGTTGCTTACACGTTCACTCACCAAGCTCTGACTCATTTCTTCTTCCATTGACATCCAAACAATCAATTCTACTGAGGGGGAGTAAGCCCTTGTACTTACGGTCCGAAAGCATGTTGCTATTCATGTCGCTGTTTTATTCTGCTTTAATGGCTGCACCACGACTGATCTTGTAAGCATCATAGAGGTATTTTCCATTGAGCATGTCCAATAGGGTACGAAATGTCGATTGTTTCTTCATCTTGCCACCACTTTTCTCGTTTTCATCGTCATCATCAGTAAGCGCTGATATTTCTTGGTCTGTCATGGCCTGTGATAATCCAATCATGGCCACAAGCAACGACAGAAGGAGTAAAAGGTAACGAAGTGGACACATTGGTGTCAATTGGTGGGGAAAAGGGAAGAGAATGGACGGAGGTGAAGTCGATTGTAAAGTGACTGCCTGAGGGAAGAGACTTGATTGTGCTATCGTCAAAACATCTGACTCGATAGAAATAGGTGAGCCGAAAACTCTGTAAAAATCGTCGGTTGTAAGGCTTTTTATTGGCTGTTTTTAGCAGTAAAAGTTCAGCACATGCGGATAAAATTCATATCAGATTGTAGATATTTGTGGTACAGGATTGAATTTCTTTTTAGTCAGAGACATCCACTAACTGAACACGATACTGAACCGGAAAGATACAGATTTCTGTGCTTACAATATTACACTTTCTGGTATTATACCGGTAATTAGTATGAAGGCGTTTTGTGTGTTTAGCTGACAATTGTATGATAAACACGGCTTTAGACGCACCTGAGTACGTCAGGGGTAAATTTGAGTGTTGTTTTATATATACATCTGCATGACATAAGGATGTGCGCATGAAAACAGCAGAATTCGTACAACGTCGCAACAGGTTGTCGCTCGAAAGTATGATGATTTTATAATATCACAATAAAAATATTAAAGGAATCAGATTTTTGCTTCGATGCAATGTATTACTTTATATGTAAGTATCAATAAGTATTACTATTTACAAAAAAGTAATAATCATCAATATCATACCTGAGACAAAGTATTAGTAATATCGAAAATATCATACAAAAATTGTAATTATCCTCTGTTTATTTAGATCCAAAAGAACGTTTTTTTGAATAGCACTAGTAGCCATGCATTTCTAAAATCATACTGTACAGTAGTATAAAAACCAATGGCTGGGAAGACCGCTCGAAAACATGCAACCGCAGCACCTTCAGCGAAGAAGCGTAAAACATCCATCACCTCATCAATTCCATTGATTATCCAACAAAAACTCTCATCTGATCAAGTCGTTAATGCCCATGACATAATATCTCAAGTGGATATTCACAGTGCCACGAAAGCTCGATTGTTATTGACTTGGTTGCTGTATCCCGTGACTCCCGAAGAATTTTACGAAAAGTATTGGGAACAACGACCTTTAGCCATTAAACGTAACTTTGCCAGCTATTATGACGGCTGGTTTAGTAAAGAGGAGATGGATCGTATTCTCAAGACTCATACGCTCGAATATGGCGCTGATCTGGACCTTACCAAGTACGTAGAAGGCACTCGTCATACACTCAATCCATCAAGCTCTGCAACAGCTAAACAAGTGTGGAAACACTATGATGAGGGCTGTTCCGTACGGTTTCTATGTCCTCAAAAGTTTTCGGACAATGTGTGGAAATTATTGGCTACACTTGAAGATGAATGGGGCTGTATGGCTGGTGCGAATTCGTACTTGACACCAAAAGGCACACAAGGATTTGCCCCTCATTTTGATGATATTGAAGCCTTCCTGTTGCAAACGGAAGGACATAAACATTGGAAAGTGTACGAACCTTTGCAAGACAGTGACATGTTGGCGAGATACTCGAGTGGAAATTACAAGAAAGAAGAATTGGACAAACCGATGCTGGAAGTGGATCTGGAACAGGGTGACTTGTTGTATTTTCCAAGGGGGTTTATTCACCAAGCGCGTGCACATAAGGATACGCATTCGTTGCATCTGACGGTATCAACGGGTCAGCAGAATTCATTGGGCAATTTTCTCGAAGTGTTGCTACCGCAAGCTTTGGAGGCTGCTATCAACACGAATGTCGAACTCCGACGATCTTTACCCCGTGATTATTTAGAGTACATGGGTGTCATGCACTCGGACCGTATAGGTGATTCAGAGAGACAGGCATTCACGAACAGGCTGAAGGGTGCGCTGAAGGTTGTCCTTGGCGAGGCGTTGAGCACACTGGATGCTGCATCCGACCAAATGGCCAAGAACTTTCTTGTCGATCGCTTGCCACCTGCTCTTGAAAATGAAGAAGAAAATTGTACAAGTGACCAGAGCCCATTGCAAAAAATCACCGTCAACACTCAGCTGAAACTTATCCGACACAGCATTGCTCGTCTTGTCATTGAAGATGGCAAGGCTGTGGTCTATCACTGCCGCGAAAACTCACGCATGCATCACGAAGTTTCAATCTCACCATTGGAATTTGAATTAGATGATGCAGAAAGTATCGAGTTTATTCTAAGTAGTTATCCGGATTACTTTCGCGTTGGTGACATGCCACATGAAGATCCCCAAGATCAGATAGAACTTGCAAAGGCTTTCTACAAGGAAGGCATTCTCATGTATCAAAAGTCCTAAGTCTCTGATAAACCAATAATTGTACGTATTGCCCAATAATAATAATTATTATTATTGCTACGTGTGACCACAATAAGTGTTTTCTCTCGTCTACTCTATCGCTATCTCTAACTCTATCTCTAACTCCTACCTCGTTTCCTATTGGCTCTTTTCACTCTTATCATCGTATTATCTTCCAATCATATCTTATCTTTCTACTCGTACCCTCTCCAAAAAGCCCCTAACAATTAAAATGTATACTCAACCCAAGTCAGCCCCCACTGCCTCGTATTCTCATCGTCGTCCGTATAATATCGTAGCGTGGGTCCCTGATAGTCTAGCAGAACGATGTTATCAATGTCAAACGTCTTTTTCGTTAATGTTACGACGTCATCATTGTCGACGATGTGGAAATGTCTTTTGTGACGCGTGCTCGTCCGCTCGAATGCCGTTGATTAATACGGATTTTTGTACCCCCGTGCGAGTTTGTGTCAATTGTTGTATTGCTGCAAAAAAAGCACATGCGAAAATGGTCCAAGAACGGTACACTTTTCAGCCAATCAGACGATACAGTGAGACAAATCGAATCGATGGCATGACGTTTGACGAAATGGAAATATCCAATGGGATAAAATCCGAAAATAGGGGGATAAAAACGTATTATAAGGGGATAAAATCACGAACGGGACGGAGTGAATCGGCTGTGGAATTACGGGATTATCGAGTATCAAGTGCTAAAGGAGCTGGGAAGATGGAGAAAGACGAGATGATGAAGCTGAAGGAACGACGACGGGTACCAATTGTCACTTTAAGAGGTCTATCTTCTTCTTTTGGTAGTTCTTTTACTGAACGAGAACGAACAGGCAGTGAAGAAACGGATTATACGAGTGCATATACTGATGGCAGTTTACAAGTTTTACCAGGTGAAGCAGTACTAGTGAAAAATGAGAAGGTTTGTGTGAGATTTCTCGATCAAAGTGAACAGATTGGAAAATTATTTGTGACGAATTATCGACTTGTCTTTATTGCAGCATTGACTAATGTTGTGGAGAAAGGTCAAAGGGGACAAGATGTACTGGAACATGCAACGATCAAAAGTCATGGACAGAAAGATGAACTCTTGTATACGTGTGAGTTAGTACATACAAAATCATGGGTAGCATATCAAGCTATTCCACTTGTTACTATTGAACGGATCAAGCGAAAGGAGATGGTTGAGACAGATAGTGGACTACTTGAAGTTGTTGGCAAGGATTTTCGTCGTCTCCAATTTGTCTTTGCAGGATTAGTATCCAAGCAAACATTTAGCAAATTTGATCGCACATATGCACTTGTCCGCTTGCATGCTTTAGGTGAACCCGAAGGAAAAGTGGACGAGTTTGCAAAATTCTCGATGGAAAGATTTGACGGCATCAATGGTGCAGTGGATGGCTGGAGGACCTATAACGCTATGACAGAGTATCAACGGATGGGCATATCTTCTTCCACTGACCGGTGGCGACTCAGCTTTATTAATGATGAGTATGACTTGTGCCCAACGTATCCGTCAGTATTGGCAGTGCCAACTTCTGCCTCTGATAGTGTGCTAGCAGTGGCCTCCAAGTTTCGCTCGAAAGGGCGGATTCCCGTTCTCTCGTGGCGCGACTGCTATACGGGAGCAGTAATTTGTCGTAGCAGTCAGCCACTTGTCGGACTTGGGCAAAAGCAGTGCGACAAGGATGTTTTTCTTATTCAGGCTATTGCAGCGACAAACCCGTCCTCAAGCAAGCTCGTGATTATTGATGCGCGACCCTGGAAAAATGCTGTCGCGCAGAAGACTGTAGGTCGCGCTGGTTATGAACTCACTGAACACTACGAGACTCGGGATACCACAGCTTCGCTGAAGTATGGAGACATGGAGGCATCCGAGAACAACACGGCAGCGGCACCATCTGCTGGTACCCCTTCATCAACGTTTGTCGGGGCTTCGATTTATGGAAACTCAACTGATGTGAATGAGTCAAGTGAATGGGGAGGCATCCACACTCTGGAAACGATGAAGTCGTCGCTAGTTCTGACAGAGTGCAAGCTTATATTTATGGGCATCGAGAATATTCACACAATGCGTAAGAGTTACCACAGACTTATGGACTTGTGTACCACAAAGCAAAGCAACGAGAAATGGCTTGACCAGTTAGCCTCGACCCATTGGATGGACCATATATCTCGTATATTGGACTCAGCTGTTGAAATTGCCCGCATTGTCAAGGAACAGAAGTCTAGCGTTTTGATTCACTGTAGTGACGGGTGGGACCGTACAGCACAGCTTACGTCGCTAACAGAGCTGCTGATTGATCCATACTATCGAACCGTTGTCGGATTCCAGCGACTAATCGAGAAGGAGTGGTGTTCGTTTGGCCACAAATTTCGAGACAGAACGTCACATGGGGCCAGCAACAACTCGAGTGAATCTTCTCCAGTTTTCTTGCAGTGGATCGACTGCGTCTGGCAAGTTCTTGTTCAGTTTCCGAGTGCTTTCGAGTTTAATGAGCGGTACCTCATGCTTATTCTCGATCATCTGTACTCATGTCGGTTTGGCACATTCCTGTATAACTCAGAACGTGAGCGTGTGGAACAGGAAGCTCTCCATCCAACACAGTCTTTGTGGTCATTTCTAAGCACGGTAGATCGTGCAATCGTGATAAATCCTTTTTATCGGCCGCACAATGCTCCTCGTATGAAACGAAAAGCGAGCGTCACAGCCACACGCCAGTGTTTCGAAAGGACAGTTGGTCAGTCGTACGAAAAATCTCCTCGCGCGATTCCTCACAAGACCCACGAAGACTGTGAGGTCCACTCGCTAACCGAAGACGACTATCAAAACTATGAGAGGGTCAAGGATGCATCTGAATTGTCCGATTGGTCAGCTGTACGCTCTATTAGTCCCGCTTCGATGGCTTGTCGGAGCACTGTTGCCGTGGCGTCGTCGTCATCATACTCTGGAGATGATACAACTGATACTGGCGTGAAAGCTTTTTATCAAACTAAGCTGCGACGTCACCGCTCCGACAGTATTGAGTCACAACTTGGAGGCAATACGTTTAACGGCTGGGTTAGCGAGGGTGAGTCAGATATGGCGATTCTTCAGCCAGGGTGTCACCACAAACTCGTGCGCGACCTCGATGCAGGCTTTTCGTTCCCACGACCATTAGATGAGTCGTCATTGTCCAAGTTGACATCGTCACCACCTATCCCGCCGCGTTTTCGGTCGTGCTACGCCGGTACGAACGCAGAAAATGGTGGAGCCGGTGCAAGAGTATTGACGCCGACGTTTCGCTCGTCAATGACATCACTTTTCGTGCCAGCTGTAGAGCGTGTACCGATGTATTCGGATACCATGTGGAATACCAGTGATACAGAGGCTGTGTCCGAGGACGATGAAAGTGGTCGCTATGGTGCTCTCTCCTCCTGTGACGAAGTAATCATACCATCCTGCTCGATGAAGTCACTCCATTTTTGGGCTCACTATTATTTGCGATGGGACCCGAGTAGCCACTTTGACTGTGACGCAAGTGTTGAGTTGGAAACTTTGCACCTCGAGCTGATAATGCGCTTGAAAGCACTAGCAAAGCAGATCGATATTATTCGGGAGGATGAAGCTGCAAAGTGGGAGCACAAGATGCAGCAATTTCTGTACGATCCCCAAAGCCGTTGCGTTGACAATGGTTGCGACTCAAGCAGTCAGTCACCACCACGAGAAAACCAACGTCACAATCGACGAGTATCATCAAGAGGTAGCACATCTTCTCCGGACTCTAGTTTCGCTGGATCCAGGAACGTTGTAGCTAATTCGAAAATCCTCGAAGAACAGATTGCGAAGTTAAAGAAGCAAAAACTGCAAAGAATTGAGGAAGCGGAGAAAATGTATCAGGAAGAGCTCACTCGTTTGTTGCAAGAATCAAGTCGCGAGCGATTTGGATATATCTAAGTCATGTGAACATACTAACCAGTCCATGCGTCAATGTACCATGCCATTACAACTCTAGTGCAAACAAGCTCTCATAACCTTCAAACGATCAGTCTTGCTGCTTGTCAATACTGCTGCATGGCAGTTTTTGTTGCTAATAGTTTGCCATTCATTCCTCTAGACACATTCAAAACGTACTTGTTAACATCGTTACAATAATATCAATAACGGTAGCTTTCGCACGCAAAACATCGCTAGGCTTGTTCATCCACGACCATTGCAGCGATCCGATAAGCTTGAAACATGGTAATGAAACGCCGCGTTAGTACAAACATACCATCCTGTCTACTTTGCATACAGAACCATGTTAGATTGCAACTATCAGCATACACAATCGCTTTGATATTCGATGCGTCTCAAAACTCACTCATTTGCGTCAAATTGTCGTGTATTACCATCATAGTCGTGTCCCACGAGAAAAAGACTTCCTTCGGCCTCTTTCCAAACAAAGTGAGTACACTAGGCTTTTTCGCTAAAAATGCATCCTCTTGGCAGCGTTTGCAGTCGACATGTCTTAGTTTTTGCTCTTTTTGCTGCGCTTCTGGGCAGTCGAAGCCGCCTTGCCACTAGTCGTCTTTTTCGTGGGGCCGTTCACAGGTGCATTCAGGCTTGCGTTGACAACAGTCGACTTCTTGACAAGTTTGCGCTTCGTTTTCGAGCTGCGGTTACGCGTGCCACAGCACAACCCACACGTCATGACACACAGAGCCGTCGTGAAAAGCCACCAGACTAGACGCATCACTAAGCGGATCTGAAACAGAACCAGCGGCACTGCCAGAATGATCAGCACACTGTCAATCACTTTCTGCGCATAAGGAGCCACGTGCTCATTCTTCTCCAGAAGAGTAATTGCCGTTACACGTGCCAGCTTGGCACGACGCAGTGCTTCCCGTGAGTACAACACTGCTTGCTCCTTTACCTTCCCAGCTTCATTCTTCACAATTGGCAAGTACTGCTCCACATGTGGGTTCACTGCCTTGTGTACATCAGCCAAGATTGGATCCGTCTTCTTGCGAACATCCTCTAGAATCGGATCCAAAGTGGTCGCCAAGTTTTTTTGGTAAAACTTGCTCGTTGTATCATACGCCGTCTTCTTGACACCTTCAATCTTGCTCTGCACCTGTTCCAGTGTATCCGATTGTTCTTTCATCTTCTCCTGAGCAAAGACAACCGACTGTTGTGCTAATTCCAATGCACTGTCATAGTAAAATGACAATACTGTAGCCATATTCAGTTCCTCGGGCTTTAAATTAGCCAATTTCTTCAGCAGTGCTTGATTCTTCTTCTCTGCAAGTTCATGATCTTTTTCCAGCTCTTGTGTCCGTTTCGTCTCTTCTGATAATTTGGTCAATGCCGCCTCAAGTTCCGCTTCTGTGGTCGCTACAATTTCTTGTTCCTTGGCAAGACTTTCCCTCAGTTTAGTGACATCCCGCTCACGCGACACCAACCGTGTCGTCTCGTCTTGAAGCTTCTCTTGGACCGTCTTTAACTCGTGCTCCACCTTTTCCACCGTCTTTTTCTCCTTAAGTACGTCCTTCTCGAGTGTCTTCACGTTCTCTTGAAGCATTGCAATCTCCTTCTGCAGCGTAGAAACAACTACTTCATGCTCTTTAGTGACATCCGTTAACAATTGGGACTTTTCTGACTTCAATTGATGCTGTAATTTGGTATTTACTTGCTCGAGATCGCTGATTTTCGTCTCTAAAGCAGCAACAGACGATGGCGCAATGCATGTTTGCCTAGTGTCCTTCGCATAGACGGATACAGCGAGAGATACGGCGATTAACGGCCAGTGAATTAGACGCATTTCGTAGGGGGAGGGAAGATCTATTATAACTGGAGCTCTTCGATAAGGAAGGAAAATGATTGGTAGATAGGAGAGATCTATTTTGACCAATGGAATGGAAGTTTAGTGGACGACACGACGGTTGACTTTTGGGATTGGATGTTTACGTATGCTATAACCGGTTTAATGCGTAAACTGTATCAGTTATGGTATGTGTATTAACAGTGGTTATACGTTCAGATGGCTACATTACCTGCTATTTCGTTACAATGTGCTTTCATGCATGTTCATCCGATTGGCTTCATCTTAAAGTCGTATCGCGCGTTAGAATACTTCACTGTCTTAGCCTTTTTCACCGTCATCTTTACATCATTGCATGAGAGTATCGAGTATCCAATTTGTTTGTACAATGCAGGGCCAACGACAAGTTGCACATTGTCGAGAATGACCTTGTGTTTCGTGGACAGCAAAGTACACTGTATAAACCTGTTGCAATTGACCTCCTTCATCGTGTCTTGAGCAAGCAAAAATGTTGCTGTAACTTGGAAACAATCTTGTTTCGTTCACTTTAAACTCTTAAGCAGAATTTCGAGCTGTTTTACAACCTCTATGTGCTTTTTTAGTGCTTTATTTCCTTCCTGATGCTTTCACTCCGGTTTGCTCAATGTTTAAGACATTACACAGAGCTCTGGTTTTTCTCGCCAAGGACAAGTCAGCGTATTACGATATTCCGGCAATGCGTGCAATCCTGCAGCCATAGCGTGCAGATCCGTGCTTTTCTTTTCGCTCTAATGTTGTTCCTGCACTCGATGAAGACAAAGCAGTCTTCAGACTCTTACCTATTTACATACTGACGTTGGCAATGCGTGTCATGAGGTTACAGGTGTTGCAGTAGCTGACGATGTCACTTCAACGTGTACACAGTTGTACACAATATGAGGTGGTACACACTTTGGGTACGTTTGGGGGTACGCTTGTTTTTTGGCGGGAAGCGCTGGTCGTGGATTGCCATTAATTGGAACGAAGAGCTACGATACGACGCCATGCAGAACGTGAGTATTAGTCGGCGACGCGAGCACGGACCTCGTCACGAAGTGTCGGTATTGTCACTATACAATGAGGCACCACTGGTTGAAGTATCATTGGAGCAATTCGAAGAATTTGCCATCGATCGACTGCACGTGCTAAAAGCGGTGGAGAACTACCGATTGCGCAGTGTGCAGATGAAGGAGCGCGAAGGAAGACTGGAGAAGACGCTGAACAAGCACATGCCGCTACGCTCGGCTGCTTTCCGACGTACTGGCCAGGCAGAAGATGATACGACCAAGGATGTGCTGTCACATTTCTTTCTGCGCATGGCCTTTTGCCAGTCAGAGGAGCTTCGGCGCTGGTTCTTGACGCAAGAAAGCACTTTATTCCGGTAAAAAAGTCAAGTTGCTATTGAATGAAGAGCCTTTTTGATCATGGTGTGGTGAAATTTGGCAGTTATCGCTTGGACAAGATGACAAGAGAGGAGAAAATTCTTTTTATGAAGCAAAATGGATTGTCGTACGAAGAGGTGGGGGGGGGTAGTGATGGATGTTCACATGCGATGGTTCATGCTGATGAGGATGTGTTGTTGTGTGGTGCAGATGACGATGAAGGAGGTGGAAGCACGACTAAGCAAACTAAAGGCTGTTCGAGACGCTAACGACCCGAAGGTCCGTGGTCAACCGTTGCCTGCGTACTTCAAGGTGCCCTTCACAGAGGCACTTGACCTGGTTGGTAGTCGACGAGTATACATTGAGGCTGGGACGGCATACGTGCCGTTTGAACACGTCGTGTCCATCCTGTTTGCTGCTTTTCGTGCCAATGTACGTTGGATATTGCTGGTACATTCAGTTGCACTTTGATCTTATGTGTGTGCGCATTTGCAGCTATCAAAGGAACTGTCAGGAGCTTTTCGCAAATACAATCGCTCACTGATAAGCAAAGACGACCGCCTCGCGCCAGTGTTATCAAACTTGGCAAAGCACCACATCGATGCAGACTACTCATCGACTCCTGTCCTTGGTTCGGCAAATGCTATTAGACCAGATATGATCGATGGTCTTGCATCGACATCGATGCCTCTCTGCATGCGTTCACTTTACAAGGGACTCAAGCTCAACCACCATCTCAAGTTCGCAGGGCGACAACAGTATGGGCTTTTCCTCAAGGGTATTGGTCTTCAGCTTGACGATGCTATTGCATACTGGAAGCAAGAGTTTTGCAAGAAAATGTCGGTGGATGACTTTAACAAGAAGTACGCGTACAATATCCGTCACAATTACGGAAAAGAAGGAAAACGCAAGGACTATGCGCCTTCGAATTGTATGCGTATCATCACGGGCGATCCACCAAAGAATGGTGAGTATCATGGTTGTCCCTTTCGTCATTTGGAGCAAGAACATCTTCGAAAAGCGCTGCAAGGAATACCAGAAGGAGACAAGAAAGAGATCCTGTCACTTGCCGAGAACCACCATTATCAAATTGCATGCAAGAAATATTTCGAAGCTACTCATCCGTCTAGCGATCCTGATATCCTCATCAATCATCCCAATGGATATTTCGAGGAGAGCCATAAATATTATATTGCGAAAGAGAAGGGCGTCGTAGTCACCGCCAAGTAGGTTCGAGTTGAAATATACAATTGATTGCAGTAAGTATACGTACTTAAGATGGCTGGACGATCCTTAGTATAATTATCGTACATTACATAAACCTATAGTATAAGATAATAACTCCCTTTCGGCATGCTAATCACCACCGACCATCATTCCTTTTCCTTACACGCTACAGAATGAATGCCGCTTCGGTGCTATCGTCGCCTATTTCCTTCGTTACAGTATCTAATGATGGCAATTTTCAAGTATCATCGGAAGCAATTGAATATTTACAACAAATCCGTGGACCAATTGCTGTTGTAGCTATCGCTGGTCTTTACCGAACAGGAAAATCGTATTTATTGAATTTATTACTAGGACGTGACCAAAAAAAGAACCGAATGTTTGACGTTGGGGCAACAATTAATGCCTGTACAAAAGGTATATGGATCTGGGGACAACCCGTAGCCAATCAGAAGAGCCATGCGATCTTTCCGCATCTTGGTAAAGATACAACTATTGTCTTTATGGATACAGAGGGGTTGGGTTCAATTGAACGATCACAGACCCAAGATACCCAAATATTTGCACTTGCTTTACTTTTATCGTCTCTGTTCATTTATAACAGTCGAGGGGTCATTGATGCCAATGCAATTGAAGATTTATCCCTTGTGGTAAATTTAACGAAAATTATCCAAGCCAAAGCTCATAATGACAAGAAAGCAACCAATTGCAATGAATTGTCTCGATTTTTTCCTGATTTTCTATGGGTTGTAAGAGATTTTACACTTGAATTAAAACAAGACGGGAAAAAAATGACTTCAAAAGATTATTTTGAAACTGCCTTGAAACAACAACAACATTCTTTCACGGAAAATGTGGTGCAAAAGAATAAAAGTCGATCATTATTATCGACATTTTTTCCATCCAGAGATTGTGTAACAATGGTTCGACCACTTCATGATGAGAAACAATTACGAGAATTATCGAAACAGCCATATGAGTCCCTACGACCTGAATTTCGGGAACAAATGGAGATTTTAAAAAAGAAATTATCAATGTCACTTAAACCCAAGACAATGATGTCAAATGTGCTAAATGGACCAATGTTGGTATCGTTGACAAAGAATTATGTAGCTGCTTTTAATAGTGGATCTAGTCCAGTTATTACGTCGGTGTGGGATCGAGTTATAGAGTCACAGTGTGATCAAGCATTGGACTCAGCTAAACAGGTTTTTCGAGAAAAAATGGATGCTGCTATTGCTGAAAAGACCAGTACGTACTTGATGTACATAGGAGTGTCGATGGATTTTGATTCAGAGTCTAATGATTCTTTCTCTGTTCAGACCTAGTGAGAGTAAATCAGGTGATGCGCGCTCGACCATTAGAAGATGTAGAGCTGGTCTCTCTTTATGAAACAGCTCGCAAGGCTGCGGACAGAGAGTTGTTACGGGAAGATATTGTGTCAATCTCGTCATTGAAGGATTACTCTCTCACGCTGTCGGAATACAGCCTTGAAATACTGCAGACCAAATTTAAAGACAATGATGCAGTGTCGACTGTTTTTAACAAAGAGATACTCCAGGAGTTATGGAAACCTTGCAAGGAACCCCTCAAGGATCCGTCGCTAATTGCAGAAGACGAAGCTCAGTATTTGCAGAACCAGCTGACAGCTTCTCAAGATTTTCTCAGCAGCATTGTGACCCAATTCAATGATCGAGCCGCGGGATCCCGGAAACACGGGGTTTTAAACGATTTCTTGCTCGAAAACATGGTCGAGGGGATGTTCGAGTGGAGCACATTGGTGAAGACCTTTTTTCGATCAAAAGAAGCCCAGCTAGCTGCTGATATTGCGTCTAGTCAGCACTCATTGCGATCAATCGAGTCAAAAGTTCGTGTGGCACAAGAGATGTTAACTCAACAGAACGATTCGTTCGAAAAAGCCGTTCAGTCGATCGCTGAGCGCATAGCAAGCGAGCGAAGTACACTTCTTGATGATATACAGAGCAAACAATCTCAGATTGATCGAACTCGTTTGCAAGTTGAGCAATTGGGTACACTGCATAAAGAGGTACTCGATCGCTTAGATGCACAAATTCAAGAAGCCAAGGATGAACGGAACCAGCTTGAGGCTGCTATTCATTCTGCTGAAGTCTGCCGAGAAAAGGAACGGCAAGAAGCCCAGCGCCAGTTGTTGCAGAGCGAGGCGAAATTTCACAATGAAGAGAAAACGTTGATACAAGGGCAGCAGCAAATTTTGAAGAAAGTACTTGAACTCGAGCGGTGTCTTGGAGAACAGGATGTCAATCAACTTGCTGAGCTTTCTCGTGTCGAGAAAGAAAACACCGAAGAGATTTTTCGATTACAGCTTCAGTTCCAAGAGCTGGAGGAAGAATTACGCGAGAGCGCAGTTCAGGTACGACCTTTTGTTACTGATTCTCGTTTGAAGACAAGTGCTAATCTCCACATGTATTTTTACTTCTTGTAGAATATTCAAGTGTTGGAAAAGGAACAAGAAGAAGAGAGAGATGTGTTGCAATGGAATTTAGACGAAAAGAAGAAGCGTCTGGTGATCCTTTGCAAGTTATTAGACGAGAAAGAGGCGGCGAAGACTACGCAGTTTTTTAGCGGTGAGGAATGCATTGTCCAATAAACATACGTATTTTATATTAAAACCTTCATATTTACAGTAAATATTGGGCAGTAAACTACTTAACAGCATAATCAACTACTGTTGTTCTTATAAAGAATGCTTCGAAGCTTTCGTCGCCACCATGTCCTTTTACAAGCGTCTCACGTGAACATCGTCACTATTCGTGGTAGTGCATTGCGTGTCTGGAATCGGCAACAGCAGCAAAAGACGTTTTTATGCAGTCACGCAAGTCGTCATGATCGTGTTCTTACGACCAGTATGGGGCTCATTTCGGGCGGTATTCTCGTCACTTCCATATTAAATCAACCAAAGGAAGATGGACATTTTAGTGGAATCATTAAGAATTTGTATGGAGATGTATCGGAAATATTTGCTCTTAAAAAGGGATGTCAATTCGATGAACCGGTACGACATTTGTAATATCGATCCTATGAAATAGCATATCCTAGCTACGAATTAATCGATGTTTTATGGTATTTTTTCTAGTGGTATGAAGACACGAACAAGAAAGCGATTGCAATGTTAATTGGAGCTAATACAATCGTCTTTGGACTATGGCGTGTGTCATTTCGACATGCGAAATTGCATCAATTTATGTGGAGACATTTTGCCAGTTCATACGATGCTGTCGTTTTTGGCAAACGATTTCACACGTTATTGACATCGGCTTTTAGTCATTTGACATTTCCACATTTTGGGATCAATATGTTCATGTTGTGGGAATTTGGACCACATGTCTTGGCACCAAGTAACAACAAGTCGTCAAGAAATTGGTACAATCAAGCAGTAGTACAAAACGCAAAGTTGATTCTGAGAGACAAGTATTATAGTTTTCGTCGGGGACCAGAATTACTGTCACTTGAAAAGTTCATGGCATTGTATTTGACGTCTGCGATGACATCGTCGGCGTTAAGTGCTTTGATATCGAAGTTGCGAGGGAATGGGAGAGGTAAAAGAGGTATTGGGTTGTGTAGAATATGGCGCAAGATTGATCACAGATATGCTGTTGACTGCTGTGTGAGATAGTATTTTCGGTTGGTGCAAGTGGTGCAGTCTCGGCAGTCTTTACTGTGTCGTGTCTTCTCTTCCCTGACAAGCGGGTACGTTGTATCTTGTGTCTGTCATTCGAGTCGCATTGCTCTAATACGTTGATGAATGCATGATTACCAGCTTCTGCTCTACGGACTCTTCGAGATGACGTCGGCGCAAATGCTGCAGTTGTACACCGCGCTCAATATTGTTGGCGCGGCATTCCAGCGCAATCTGCGCGTTGACTGCGTAGGCCACTTGGGCGGCCAAAGTGCAGGTTTCGCCTTCCACCATGCTCCATCGGGCAACTAGACGTAACACAAAAGCCGAGCTTCCAACAATCAACATTTCGCAATAAGCTTTAGCTCTGTCAAACTCGTGCTTCGTTCCATTTAACTGTTCTGTATTGCGTCGGTATTGAATTTTTGACGCTTCGTCCGTCTTCCATCACATGTGCTTTACCGGCATCTCAACTAACACACCTGATCTACCGATTCTAAGAACCCGTTCTGCAAACCGATTGACACAAAGGTAGTATTGACGTTGCACTTTGCCAACCACCTTATTCAGCTTGCTCCAAGTAATCCTTCACCTCCGCCGGCGTCAAGACATAGAACTTCTTATCTTCTTTGATGATCCCCACCTCAATGTTAGTTTCATCCATCTACACCATAAAAAACATATCTCATCAGTATCAACGCCCCCTACAGCCAAAAAACTCCACCACACTCAACCCACCTCGCCTTCAAATCCTTCACGAAGTGTCAATAGCGCCGTATGGATTGCATCTTCAATCTCCAAGTCGTCATTGTAACGCTATCCCCACCACCAACAATATAAACTCACAATCAGTTCTCAAGCTCATCAATTATAATCACTCCTTTTACCCCATCCACCCACCCGTTCAAGAAACGTCTTGGCGCTAACCGAATCTTTTCCAATAGCCGTAGCTTTCCATCCAAAATAAGCTCCTGATGGATCAATCTGATACAATTGAGGACCGTCGTCATCATAGCCCGCGTACAAGATCGAGACACCAAACGGACGGACACCACCCGATTGCGTAAACTCCTGCATGACCGCCGCAATTTCACGCACTAAAATACTCGCAGGAGCGTGTTCTTTGTACTTTTGAAAGTAAATCTGAGCCTTTTTACGTGCTTTACGCACCAAGACACGATAATCCGGACCCAAGCCACTGTACACGATCCCTGCAGGCTCCGAGACCATTGCAATCTTCTTGTGTGAGTTTTCATCCACTAGAATCGTCGGTAATTTCTTCTCCGTAGCAATAACCACGCCATTTTTACCTAAAAACAGGTACGAATTAGCATGTTAAGCCTGTTTTTAGCTAATAAAGCAAGAATTTAGACCAAAACTAACGTACAGCGAATGCCCAATGACGTCTTGCCTCCGGTATTAACAGCGTTAAGTGCGTACTCAATCTGTAACAGTTTTCCAGACGGATTGAAGGTCGTTAAACTGAATGAATAGGCAGAGTCTGCCATGATTGATTGTAGAATGAATACTACAGATAAAAGAGTCGAATAAGTACGTGTGAATACACAAGATAACAATGTATACAGAGCACTAGCTACAAAGAAAATTGCATTGCTAGATCTAGAGATATAGACACTACAAGAATAGCCTGGAAACCCGATCTTACCTTGGTCAAAATTCTTCTGAAGGGGGAATTAGAGTGTCTTCGGATCGCAGGTACCGCTCGATTGGTACAATGTACCAGCCAAATGGGACTTTAGTTATCCTCTTCTCTTTACTTATTGTTTGTATGAACTTCTTTTCAACCAGTTATAATGCAGACCGCTTTGTGTCATTTTTCAAATCAACATTTTTACAATAGAATATGACGAATCTACTGATCCGCTTCCGAGATTATGTTTTCTTTCAAAAGAACCCACTTGTCCAAGTAATTATTATATGAAAATAAGTATACTTCAATTATCTCTTCGTATCTAACTATATAGATGGTGGGGGGGGGGGGGGGGGGGTTATCTATGTAGATTCTCTATTTTGTGGCAATGGGTTCATGCTATTATTTGTATTTACGTGAGGCTTCTCCACTCTTGCCGAATGAATACGTTGCTTGGTATCACAAGTATGAATTTCTCTTTTATTCTCATACAAATAATAGGAAAAGAATTGTTATTAAAAGGGAATTTTTAGCTAAAAATTTGTATTTGTTGCTGTTTTTGTAGATGGCTTGCGACGTTCCTGTTTCTAGTATCAAACATGTTGTATCTAGTCATGAGTGTGAGTGATCCAGGCGTTATTCAACGCAAAAATATGCACAAGTACAAGCAATATGTACATCATCCAGTGATGTATCCAGAAGGAAAATATTGTCGTACTTGCAAGACTTTAAAGTGAGTTTTTTGTCCTATTGCGCTGTCAATTGAGAAGAAAATGGAGTTTCAGGTGCTAAGATACGATTTTTATTATTTTGACAGACTACCACGGTCTAAACATTGCAGAATGTGTAATCACTGTGTAGCTAGATTCGACCATCAGTGAGTAATTTTTAGTGATGGATTTGTGTTTCCATTGGATGTTTATTCTGACGAGTTTTGTTGTGTTGTGGTGTAGCTGCAGTGAGTAATTGTCGCGTTCAATGTCAGTTTGTGGATGTTTTGTATAGTGATTAATGCTTACAGTGATTCCTGCTGCGTGATGACAAAAAGTCTGGTTCAATGGTTGCGTTGGAGAAAAAAACTACAAACATTTCCTGGTGTATTTGTTGGTACGTCATTATGGTTCATACAAATATGTGAACAATGTCAGTACTTTTGTTTGGCCTCACATTATTGTTTGCTGGTCAGGCTCTGCTTGCACTTTGTTTTGAAGGCTTTTTCGTCACAAGCAGTGTTTTTCTCGTGCAGGTGCGTCAATTGATTTTTTTAAGTTTGGAGTGGGTTATTGCTGAGAATTGACGCTGGATTTGATGGAACAACACCCAGGCTGGTGATCTACTGCATTCACGCGGTGTGAGTATTGAAGTGGTCGGTAGAACGGAAACCGCTAAGATCTTGCAGTCACTGATTGCGGTACGTTTTTCCTCCTTGTGTGGTGTCTGTGAAGACATGGCGTCTAAACTTTGTTTGCCACAGAACAACCAACCGCTAGGTTTTGTCACTGCCATGTGCCTCATGACCGGCGGCATTACAGGGGTATTCTTCCTGATGCAGCTTAAGCGCATTGCCCAGAACGAAACAGCAAACGAATCCTTCAAACGTGAAGATTTGCGTGAGGAAGCTGAACTCGACGGCGAGACGTCAGGCCGTCGAATGTTTCGCTTTCTCTTCAAGCGCTTGAATTTCCGAACACGGCCGAAGCTGTCAGTGCCGCGCAAGGAGCAGAGAAAAATGTTGGATGCGTCTTGGGGAGGTCTCTTCTCGCCAGACACGATCATGAACACTGAAGAGAGTTACTCGGAGGACGACGTAAACTTCAATCCATACAAGCTCAACTCGTTCAAAGAGAATCTACTTGATGCTCTGCATTTTTGCAACAACTACAACAAGGACAAAACAACTTGAGGCAAATGCATGAAGACGTCACAGCGGAGTCAAGGAAATGTCAGGTAGCAAGAGGAGAACAATAAAATAAATTTTGTGCAAAACAAAAGCAGCGACAGATCGTTGATGACGTCTCGTGACTACCTGCACGTAAAGTAAAAACCAGCATGAATCCGGCTCTCTCTCTCTCTTCTCGTTCCTGTTAAAAGTCCTTGGAGGTCCGTCAACATGTTTGACGATCTAAACAGACACTGCAGGAAGAGAGTTGCTGTTCCTAGCAGATTCACTTAAACCAGAAAGTGTCTTGTTCATGCTGATCGTCGCTTGTACCGAGTGAACGGCTGCTTTGAATTTCTTTCTTGCATGAAACCGTCGCAATTCGGTCAATGCACTCGTCAATGGTACAGTTGCCACGTCCGTTCCAGTGATCCATTTATGCTGCATTAATTCTTGTGCCGTCGCCCGATCCTTTGGATTGACTACCAACATTTTCGAGATAAATTCCTTGGCGTTCGTTGATACATTATCCCAATAAGGTGAATCATAATAATATTTTCCTTTGCGAATTTTCTGAAACAAAACTGGTTGTGAATCATCATGAAAAGGAGGATATCCAGCCAATAAAATGTACGTAATGACTCCAATACTCCAAATATCCACCGGTTTGCCATACGATGTTCCTTCTAAAATTTCAGGTGCCACATATCCCGGTGTTCCACATGTAGTCACAAGTCCCGAGTCATTGGGTGTCACTGTTTTAGCAAACCCAAAATCGGCAAGTTTAATACTTGCATCATCATTTGCTGACATGAGCAATAAATTTTCAGGTTTGAGATCCCGATGAACAATATTTTGATCGTGACAATATTGTATTGCTTGAATTAGAATTTTCACCAAATCACGGGCTTCTTTTTCCGTATAAAAGGTTTTTGCCACAATTCGATCAAATAATTCACCCCCACCGACAAATTCCGTGACAAGATAATAATAATCTGGTTCGACAAAAAATTCTTCCAATGTCATTATATTGGGGTGTTGCATTTGGTGTAAAATGGCCACTTCAAATTGAATCGCAGCGTCATCATCGGGTGAGAGGTCTGCACGTTTTATGCACTTGATTGCAAACCGACGTTTGGAACTGATGTGGATACTTTCACGAACAACCGAGTACGAGCCCGAGCCAATGATTTTTCCTAAAGTATACATATCGGTTACTTTTCCCTTCCCCTCTTGTGCACTAGGGGTAGAGGAAGATATGTGCGTATTAATGTCCTCGACGGTATGAACCGAGGTGGTCACGTTGGTGGTAGGTCTAGGGGATGCATTTTCACGCTTGAAACATTTGTAGAAACAATTAAAGCACCACATTTTGTGAAAAACACGAGGAAAAAAATAGGTACTGGTGGTGGGTAGTGCGTGTTATGACGAGACACTTATTCGGAGTGAAAAATAATAAATCAGATCACATGGAGGACCCATGTTTTCTATGATTTGGAAGGGGTAGGACTGAGAGGGTGTGTTTTTATACTTGAGTTTCGTATAGACTATTTGTACCGATCTTTTTGATGGGAATCAATTAATTATGGACTGGGTGGAATTACATGCGTTTACAGAGGTAGGAATTAGGCTCGAGTAACCTTCGAAATAACGCGTACCCACGTGCAAATCCACCAGACTTGCGTTAGCGTTAGGGACCTGTAAAATAGGGCGAGCATCGAGCTGTTAGTAATCAACAATCTTACATGTCTATGTTGTGTCCATGTTTATGTCCATGTTTATGTCCATGTGATAGTGCCAGTCTAGTCAGACGAGTCGATTAAAACCCCTGTAGAAGTTACAGGACGTCAACTCGATCCTACGCCTGAATATCAATGCCCATTTTCCTCGTTCAAGTCCATGGAATTGCTCGTCTTTAGTCCTAGATCATCTTCAATAGTCGTAGTGCACGTGTCTACAGTTTTCTTGAGAGTCACTGAACGTCTATGTAGCTATTTATCAAACTAGTACAATGTCTCATGCCCAGAGTAATAACTTTTTCCGTGCACTTTAAATCGGATGGATAAGCTGCAGTGTCCTGTAATCTCATTTAATGGACACTAGGAGTCCTCTTACCACTGTGGTAGTCTTAACGAGCCATCATGACAGAATATCTGGCCCTTTACCTCGTATTGATTCGCGACTCTCGGGGTTTAACGTGCTATCACTTGCCCAGACGCATTATGGGACAAAGAGTTTCTGGTCCGGTGTTACTGTACATACTGGTGTTTAGCTGCTGTAGTTGACGTTATCAAGTCGATCACATGGGTGTGTTTGTTTACTCTGTAGCTAGTTTAGACGGTCATATTCCTTTCGTTACGCTCGACATGTTGCATGCATGTCTCTCTTTCGATCTGCTGACTTAAGGCTGACGTATGCCACCGTTCCTTGTCTCGTTTGTCATGCTGGACAAGACCAGGGAGGTTGAAAAGACCACATCATCTCGCGTCATCTTGATGATGATGATCCCTTCCCGCTATAAGCCATGGGTGATATGAAAACTGCAATGCTACAGTATTGACGACCAAATGTCGCTCACTCGCCATCTCTCAGTCCCACATAAGATGAGCCTGAGTCCAAGTCTTGATGATTATTGGATCACTGCTGCTTTAGGACAACCGGAGCTACGACCCGTAGGAATTCCATTATCTCCTGGCTGTTTTCAAGCCACGGATGCTGACCGAGAGAGATATACTAGTTTAATTCGTGGTCGAGTCGACTCGTTGCTACGAGATGAAGCTCGCTACAAGGAACGACGTGAACGCAATGAAGACTTTTTACATGCTGGAGAGTGGAAACAAGTGAAGAAGGAGAAAGACTTGACCTTCTATCGACGTTTTCAAAGAGGTCGATCGTTGCGTGAATTGGCACTTGAAGAAGAGCTTCCAGAAATTCAACGAGCAGTGGAACGAGGATACACGAGTATGATATGCGACGGTTTCGTGAACGGAACCATTGAGGACATGCTGTACGGAATGACCGCTTCTTCACAAGACGATTTATTGACGGGATTCTCGTACAAGGATCCACCCAAAGATTGTGTCTGGCTGGGCTCCGTGGAAACCGCTACTCCCGCTACTCCATTTCACACCGCTGATTTGATCTGGGCACTACCAAAGTTGCCACCAATGCTTGACCAAGTCGACGTGTGCTATCTCAAAGGTACAGGTCAGGAAGTTGATGCAAATGGAGAGCGCTACGGCTACTTAGTGCTGCATGGGGTGCACATTGCACAATGTCCTGCATTTGCAGCACATGGGATTTCTCGAGCCAAAATGTACTTTGCTTGTTTGTTTCGAGAACCCCAGCCTGGAGTGTTAAAGGTGACAGTACGTGGCATCTTTGACCTTAGCAAAAAGGTGAGAATGTTGAAGGGACTAGTATCGGCTGCTACGACGTCGATCATGATTGGACTTCTTAATGGTGTAGGTATTGGAGAGGCCAAGAAACTTACTCTACTGGCACGTCGCAACCGTAGCAGGCTTCGGGACCTTTTTAATACTCCTAGACAATCCATGTGCTACATGTGCTGCAAACGTGCATCATTTCTCGGTCGCACTAATTTGTTCGGGACCCACTTGACGACATGCTACGTATGTGGATGCACCGTTTGCTCACAATGTACTCGTGGTATGAAGCGGCGAGTCTTTCTGGGTACTAAGTATCCGTGCTCCAAAGTCGACTGTTGTCCCCGTTGCGTTCGTGAGGCTGCGACTACGATCCATGTGTGTCCTGCAGATCCTGAATATCAAATAGTCGCAGAGTTCTACCTCAATCTCAATCAGTCTTCAGCATCAAAGTTACCAGAGATTTTGCAAAACAACGGAATGAAAACTAATGCATCAACAGGTATACCAACGGCCTCCACGACGAATAGAAGCTTGGGAGAGTATCAGCTCGAATTCGAAGACGACTCGTTCTCAATTTCTCTAAGTTTGCCTGAACTTCGCCAAAGTTCCGAGGGGGATGTGAGCAACGCCGATATGGTTGACATTGAGCCGGGCTCTGGTCTTGAAGCGGAGGCTGGGTCGTTTGAAAGCTCGATCTCAATCTGGGGAGGAAGCAGACATCGAATCAGTTTTGATGATGACGATTTCGTTCCAACACTTTCTTCAGATACGATGTACTCGGACAGATTAAACGCGAATGCTGGACTTGCAGAGAAGGTGGAGCAGAGACTACTTGAATTGAATATCAAAGCCGAGTACACTTACGCACAGACACAAGAAACAATGATGATCATGCAACAGGGTGAACGAAGGTAATGAGCCTGCAAATAAAAAATGTCGATGTTAATCACCAGAAGATGCCGGTAAGTAATCTGCGATGATCTCCTGTCTGACATACTGTGGAACTTACATGTGGGGTCTACCGCATGGACTTCTTCATAATCTCTTCGTTCGCCTTCGCCGCAATGTATGCTTCCTCGACCGACAATTGGAGACCCTTCATCCACTCAACCATGTTGGGTCGTCGAGAGAGCTTCAACAAAACAGCAGGATCGACAAGGTTGATCTCCTTCACATGCTTGCCAACGTCTTGTGTGCAGCTTTTTTCACTCCAAGCATGCATCTCAGTCGAGACTGTCTCCTCCGTCAACTCTCCAAGCTCCGCGTATTCCTTCAGCAAATCGGCCGACACTGACTCAAGTTTCTCCACCCACTCGACATTGCTGTTGTAATAAGCGCTGGAGTAGGGTCGATAATCACCCGAATTCAGATCACTTAGTGTGCTCGAGAAGCTGAGATCCAAGTCGGAATCTGCACAGCTATCATCAATTGTAGAGTTGGTGAATCCTATTGACGAGCTTGTTTTACCAGGGTCGGACTTCAGCAATGTAGCCTCGCCAATGCTACGATCTGGTGAGTTATCCACCACGTCTTGTCTAGCTGAAGCTTTCGATGAAGGCATTGAAAAAGTTGCTGCCATCATCGAGCGATTCACAGACGAACAAGTTGAGATAGGGCGGAATTTGCTGTAGAACTCGGCCACGACAACAAACTCGGGCTCCCCAAGATAAACACCCGTGATACTCTTTGCCTCCTGTGAACACGTTACACAACACATGACTTCACGCCATGGCTGTTTCGTTCCTGTAAACATACGCTTGTGTTTGATCGTGCAGCTCGTGCAGATAGTGACGCCACAGACTTCGCACAAGCACAAGCGAAATCCTGAAAACATGCGTCGGTTGCTACGAATACACATGGAACAAACGCTCTTCTTTGAGATCGTCTTGAGTTTTCTGCGCTCTTCATCGTTTCGAAGTGCCAGCAATGTGAGCTTCTTGGCCTCACCACAACTCACACTTCTCAAAATTCCTTTGATGACGACTGCGGTTGCGTGTGGCAGCACTAACTTCAGCATGTCCCCACCAGCCAAGTCAAAGATGCCACGTCCCATTACATCCACGGATCCAGGACTGCTCTCACGAAACAAGAACGAAAAGAACATCTTGGCGCGGAGAACTTTCGTCTTGTGATAGTCGAATGGAGGACACTCTGGCAAATCCACCGAATGCAGCACCATGTAGCCGTAAGGTTTTCCCTTTCTGTCTCGCCCCACACCGGTAGCTTTCAAGAAACAGACATCTCTTCGATTCAGGAACGGCACTTTAGTGAGCACCCACAGCAGCTCGGCTGAACGCAAGGGGTCCTCGACTGTTGAGCGTTCGACGACACTAAGCAGCGCTGCGTCATGTGGCGGAGCGGTGATTGAAAATCCGGTCATCATCTCCTCATGCGTTGTGGCACTCATGCCATAGAGCATATCCTCAATAGTGCCGGTCACCGTTCCGGCCACGAGCATACTTGGGTTACCCCGTTCCACCGCAATCGCCGCTTCCGGGAACTCTTCCTCCGCCGCGACATCTTGTCTTGGTCGACCCCGACATCGTCGCTGATACACTTTCAAGTCATCCATGCGGCGGAGATATTTCCACTCCGTGTGTGGCACCACTGGAAATTGTTGCGCTTGTCTCTGCTTGGAGCGGTGTTCTTCTGCCAGCATGCAGCTCACACGACGACGCACCATGTCTTTGTATTCCTGGCATTTCGATTGAGAGACCTGAACGTTGTTAAAGTACCCCACCGGCAAAGGGAAGCGCATGGTAGGCATCGAGTCTGGAAGCAGGTCGCCGTCGATGGCGATTTAGAACTGGCACTGCAGCTACTACAAAAGAGCAGGTGAACACCACACTGGAAGTTCTCGAGTGCACGGTTCCAACCAAGTCGCGCATGGCGTTTGGATGGCAAACGCGAAGCCATCGATTTCGTTCCAAGCTCCCACACTCCGACGGCACCACTGCCTGTACACCCACACCAGGTCGTGCCTGCAGACAATGGAGCACGAAGAGTACGTCAGTAATGGCTCATCTAACAGCCAAGGCAGTCACAGTCTTATACCATACGCCTCATAAGCGAAGTCGACGTTTGCAGGACCAGTAGTGTCCAGTTGGTAGTTGACTAACAGTAGCTGGTATGAGTTACAGTGGAATTGGAGCCGACGATGCCACTTCATACATGTCAGATTAGGATCAGGTTGAGTCAGTTAAATACAAGAATGTCTCTTGACCGTTTACGCTGCAGCACCAGGAGCTGCACTGGTTACAGGCTCAACGTGCATCATGAGGCAATTCTTCATGCCAATGGTAATGCCCATGGCGTATTGCACCTTCTGGCCAGGAACTTCTACAAAGTGGAAGCGGCCTATGAGTATTGCAATCACCATCTTCATTTCCAGCATGGCCAGCGCTTTGCCGATGCACACTCGCTGGCCACCACTGAAAGCATTAAACTTGGCCGACGGAGTGTGCAGTAACTTGCCCGTCTCCGCGTCGACGAACCTTTCGGGCTTGAATTCGGCCGCATCGGGGCCCCATACTTCTGTTCGTCGAGCAGCACCGAAATGACACATACCGACATTCGTTCCCTTGGGCACAAACGTTCCGTCCGAGAAGACAGTGTCCTGGACACACTCTCTCATCGTAAACGGTACCGGGGTCTGAAGCCGCAAGAGTTCACGGATCGTCGCTTCAAGGTACACGAGACCCTGCACCTCATCCATGGACGGCACGTAGGTTGAGTTCATTGCCAACTGGGGCAGCTTCGCCAGCAGCTCAGTACGGAGTTTGTTTTCGACTCGAGGGTACAGTGCCAAAGTATGCAACAACCAGCTCATGGTATCAGCCGAAGTGTCACGTCCTGCGCCCAAGGCAGCGACTGCAATGTTGCGCACATCTTTAGGTGAGACTATGCCACCATCTTGCTCCATGCACTCAAGTACAATTGACACAATGTCTTTGTCGGCGGTTGGAACGGGTTTCCCGGTCTTGAGGTCTGCTTGTCGTTGGTGACGTTTCTCAATTGCCGATGCGATGATCTTCATGATAAATTCATCAATCAATGCGACATCCTCACGGAGTCTGCGTTCCTCACCAAAGTTTATCAAGCGCTTGAACTTCCACAGCCACACTGGCTGCTGTAGACGGCCGGCTACAATAGACTGCGCTTCATCAAAAGCTTGTTCAAACGGGTGTTCATGCTCCGAGTCAATACTGTCTAATGAATTGTTGAACACCATCTCGGCAAACGCTTTGAAAGTAAAGCGGTGCATGAGCATGTAGAGGTCGACAGGTTTCTTGGCCACTATAGCTTTATGTAGCACCTGCTGGAGCATGAGCGAGTGACGTTGAATCACGGGTGTCATGTGGTCACGCAGAGCTCGGGCACTGAAAAGACGGACGAGTAGACGTCGATGGTATTTCCAGCGTTCACCTTCAATGATCAGCACACTGTGGCCCATAAGGTCTACAAACATGTCGTACTGCTGCTGACCTTTACTAAAATGCTCAAACTGCGTCTTGACTACATGCTCGTAGTGCTCTGGGACGGCCGTTACGATCATATCACGCTGACCGGGTAGGTATAGTTTGAACACGCCGTTGTGGGCGATACATTGCTCTGCCATCCAGTCATGAAAACGGTGGGCGTTGCCAGCCAACTCGAGCATGTTACCAATGAACGGGACCTTGGACGGCAAGTACGGCACCATTTTACGTTTTTCTTGAACGGGAACTTCTCCTTCTTCTTCTTCTTCTTCTTGAACGACACTTTCAACTCCAACTTCACTTGAACAGGTCGAGACGTAGGCAGTAACTATTGCAGCTCCAGCTAGTAGAAGGAGACCAGTACAACCAAGTGGTGACAATACCCGACGCTTAGAAAGCCATTGACGTAGCATGACAATGAGAAACTTTGTGGAAAAATGGTAAAGCTGCTTGGGTCCGATGAAAGAAGTTGTAATGTGAAGGAAGCTCTTGGAATTTGTTGAATACCAGTGACCGACCACGCGACAACGATGAAGAAGGTCGGCCACTGTCCACCGGTCCATCGAAAATCCCGACAACGTTTTTTTTTGCTCGAGATCACGTAAGATGAGATCCTGGTTTGTATCGTGAAGGCATTGCACTCATGTCCCATGCACTTGCATTCGTGATATGATCATGTACTTGCAGTGAGTGGCATTCAAGATGCAGTCAAACGATGCAACAAAAGCATCACTAACGTCTAGTGTTGAATGTGATGAAGCATGATGCAAGTCATCATGTTAAAAGCTTGAGAAAGTAGGACATTCGATATCGAATGCAAGACTTGCAACATGTCCATGCTTGCTCACATCATCTATCTACCTACGTCCATTCGAATGGGACTGACAACCGTGGACCTCAGAAGCTACACTTGGACCTCAGAAGCTACACTTGGTAGATGAGGCGACATGGATGATGGTCATACAACGATCAAGATCGATTCAGATACCGTAGCTCTTGGCGATCATTCGTCGAACGTGACATCTTGTCCCTGATGCATGAACTGCGGGAAATGGACAGGAACGTTAGCGTAATAACATTGTCAAATGTACCACATTGGATGTCTCGCGCCATCAAGAAGCTTGGACAGTGAACTCCTGGTCGAAATCGAATGAACGTGATCGCAACAATGCTATCAATTCTCATTTGTCAACGTACCTCTAGCAATCAACAAGATGTTGTCAACGTCCAAGCTACTAATGCATCCACTCGTTATTGGTTTCTTTGTTGCAGCTGCGAGTGCTACGCTTTTATCCGTTGCCAACAGCTACGCAACCGATCCGGATTCAGGTGAGACTCAAGAAACCGAGGTAGTAAAATTGGTGCCCTATCTTCCTGGAGGACATCCATTCTTGGGTCATACACTACTCATGGCTCGTAACCTTGACCGATTTCAAGACTGGTTGGTCGAAACAAGTATCGCTCGGAATGGAGAACCATTTGTATTGCGTCAACCGGGCAAGAACGACTGGTTGTTTACAGCAAGACCCGAGGACTTTGAACAAATTCTGAGAGTACACTTTGATACGTTCATTAAGGGACCCCAAGTACGAGAATTGCTGGATGATTTCATGGGAGAAAACATTGTCATTATCAATGGAGATCGCTGGAAATTTCAACGAAAAGCTCTTGTGAATCTCTTTACAGCTCGAGCACTACGTGATCACATGACCCCTACTGTTCAGAAATGTGCATTAGCATTGCAACGGGTTTTTGCCAAGGCAGCAAAGGAACGACAAGTCCTTGATGTGCATCATATCATGGGCCGATTTACCCTTGAAGCTTTTGCAGAGATTGAATTTGGAGCTCAGTTAGGACTCTTAGAATCCGGGAAAGACCATACGTTCGAGACAGCAATTGATGATGCCAGTCATATCTCGCTCGAAAGGTTTGCAGTGCCAACGTGGGTGTGGAAACTCAAACGTTGGCTCAATATTGGCTCTGAACGTCGACTTCGGGAGGATATGAAAGTGATCTCTACTTTTGTGATGAATTGTATCTACGGAGCCATGGAGCGTCGCAATCAGCGACGAGAAGCTATAGCTCGAGGAGAACCAGTAACTTCTGTAGCCAAAGATATTGTTTCCATTTTGTTGGATAGTGAAGACACAACAGGTGAGCCTGTGCTACCAAAGGACGTGTTTAACATCTCGCTTGCTGGTGTTTTGGCTGGAAAAGACACGACTGGAGATGCAGTGAGTTGGCTCATGCACTTGCTGCATGAAAACCCTAGAGTTGAGAACAAACTGAGGACGGAACTTCTTGCTAAGATTCCTAAACTAGCCGTCGACGAGAATTATGTGCCTACCATGGAGGAGCTTGAGACTATCACCTACTTGGAAGCCACGATTCGTGAGAGTTTGCGTCTCAAACCACCTGCTCCGTGCGTCACGCAGCACTGTACTAGAGACACGGTGTTTTCTGATGGCACTTTTGTTGCCAAGGGCATGGACACGACGCTATTGTACCACGCGTCGGCCTTGCTGCCGAGTGTGTGGGGTCCAGATGCCACCGAATTCAACCCCGATCGATTCCTGGATGAAAATGATAAGCTCATTGTGCTGCCGCCACACAAATTCATTGCCTTCAGTGCTGGGCCACGCAAATGCATTGGACGCAAGCTTGCAATGGTTGAGATGAAGATCGTGACGGCATGTCTTGTTGGTCGTTACCATCTAGTGGAAGTGCCAGGACAAGACATTTGCGGAACCATGGGAATCAGCCTCGGTATGAAATATGGCATGAAGGTGACTGTCCACGCTACACCCGGTGTGGCCATCCGTGCTTGAAATAAAGACTGAAGTTTGTCGGTGTTCATGTACTTTCGACTCAATGTCTTGTCACGCATGATTCAATTGTTTATACATACATGTACATGGATGTTTTGCATTCTGTCAGTCGAGATCGTCTTCAAGTAGTCTCCTTGTTGTAGTCTGCGTCTGTATGTACGTGTTCTCGGCCGCGATGTTAAGTTGGACAAGTGTACGATGAAACATCTCGATCTCCGAACGTTTTCGTACACCAGCCGGAACAAAGTCGCCATCATCTACTTGACGGCGCGTTTTCCAGACCGTAAGTGTGCTTCTCTCGGGGTCATCTGACATGTTCGGACTAGGACCAGGTTGCGCTACAATAGACTTGGTGGACTCCTCATCACTAGAACAAAAGTATGCTCCATCCAGCTCTTCCGAGAATAGGTCGATGTCCAAACTATCGGCAGCTGTGGAGTTAGTCTGCATATTTACTGACCCAGTACTTTTCGTCGCAGATTGATGTCGACCGCTTCTGCGATAACGAGTGACGGTATCAAGCGGGTATGCCTGGGCCGACGAAAATTGAGGACTGCTCAAAGTGGATGCTGATCGGGATTGGCGTCTGAGGTAGTATTCGGCAATGACTTGAAACTCTGGTAACTCGGGACGAACGCCACATAAAGTTCTCGCGTCCCGCATACAAGTCAAACAGCACGAATGTTTCGAGCACGGAGCATCCAAACCCAGAAAAAGAATCTGGTTACTGTTGGCAATGCAATTAGAGCACACCGTAACTCCGCATACGCGGCATTGGGACAAGTGGGTGTCCAAGCCGAGTAGCATTTTTTTCTTCGTCTTGAAGCAGATAGAGCATTCTGATTGCTTAGTACTTCGAAGTGCGTCTTGATTGCGACGTGCCATGAAAGTAAGTTTCTTGGCTAAACCAATTTCAACACCATCAAGAAGGCTGACCATGAAGGACTTGGTTGCAGCCGTCACTAGTTTCTTTGCAATATTTCCACGTCTTTTTCCCAAGTCAAAGATGCCGCGTATTGTCACGTTCAGATATCCCGGTTTTGTTTCTCGAAACAAGCACGTGAAGTACAATTTAGCTCGAGAGATTTTCCGAGCTTCAAAAGGACGACAATGTGGTATCTCGATAGAATGAAGCACCAAGTAGCCGTAGCTCTTTCCGTCTTGGTCTTTTCCAATACCTGTAGCTTTGAGGTAGCAGATATCGACATGATATGGTAGTAGTCTGGGGAATGCCCAAATAAAGTCGGCTGAACGAAACGGGTCTTCAGGTGTTGATTTTTCGACCGAACCTAGCCAGACGCAGTCTCGAGGAGGATGTTTGTACCAGAGACCTGTCATCAAATCCTCTTGCGAGGACGCAGTCATTCCGTACATCATGTCCTCCATCGACCCTCGCACTTGTCCATTGCAAATCACGCTTGAATATCCATTCTCGATTGCTTGTCGAACATTGGAAAAAGGTTCTTCACTCGTCATTTGAAGCAGTGTTTGACCTCCTGGAACTCGTTTGAAAAAGCGAATCTCCTTACTCTTTTGCATCTCTTTCCACTTGGTCGGGTCGAGTGGTGGTAGCAATTGTTCTTGACGCTTGGTATACTGTTGATCGTCAGCAAGTAGAACTTTTACACGCTCTCGTACAATATCAAGATACTCCTGTCGCTTGACTCGAGTTGGATGAAAACAACCTGGTGATACTGGAAATTTCAAGATTGGAGACGTGCCGTCCATCTTCTCAGGTCGCAAATCTTCAATTGTCAAGCTCATTGCTGGGTCTTTGGACAAGTTGACAAGTGAATGACGAAAACGTAGGAACCCTCAGCAATAATGTCACCACCAGGTCAATAACTCGGTAGAAGTTATGAACATCAGCTGCGATGGGAAATAATTCGAACCTGTCAAGCGAACATTCATATGACGCGAGGACATAGTGGTAGTCAGAGGTTCAGATCTATCAAACGTTTCGAATATCGATACATTATCAAGTCACGCATAGAATCTAATCGTGTCACACATAGACTACGATCGTGGAACATTGACATGGGAAGTAGCTCATTAGTTTCACATGTCACAGATTGTACCACAAGTCGCAGATATACGCTCTTATACCGTTTAACTGTCACCATTTTGCTTGCTAACCCAAACTTCTCTCTAATCGCTCAATAATTGACTGGTCCAGGTATCATCATCATGGCGTGGGGCAAGAAAACGGGTGTGGACGACTTGCTGCCGAAGCTCGTGAACCCAAAGACAGCCACTAGTCTCTATGTCATGAGCACGCGCTGTATGAGTGACTCGGACTTTGTACGACTGGCGGATTCGATCAGCAGTAATACTATGTTGCAGGAATTGTACGTGTCCGGTCACGATTTGGGACTCCAAAGTGTACAGGCATTCGCAGACTGTTTGGCAATGAATTCAAAGCTGCAACACTTGAGCCTTGGCTCCAAGAAGCTTGGAGACGATGCTGTGAAAGTTTTGTGTGCCGGTTTGGCTCGGAACCCTCAGTCTGGGCTTCTGAATTGGGACTTGGAATTGAAATCACTTGGCGTCGACGGCGTCTCGGCCATTGCGGAGCTGCTCAAGACCAACAAAGTATTGACGACGTTGACGTTGTCACGTAATCAGATTGGCGATGAAGGAATGGAGAAATTGGCCAAAGGGTTAAGTGAGAACGCTGAGTCAAAGGTGAAAGAGCTGAACGTGACGGATGTAGGGATTTCTGGTGCTGGACTCGACCATTTCGAAGTCTTGGTAGCGAACGCGAATTGCTCCTTGACAACGTTGAAATTGTCTTTCAACTCGTTGACAAGTGCGACGTCTGCGTTTTTTGATGCGTTGGCAACGAACAAGTCGGTGAAGAAGTTGCAGCTTAAAGAGTGCAAGCTGACCGATGAACATGTGGCTGCTCTCGCTTTTGCGTTGAAACAAAACACGACGTTGACGGAAATTGATCTGTCGGACAACGAACTGACACCGATATCGTGCGCTTCGTTGGCGGAAGGGCTTCGTGACAATAAGACATTGGAGATTCTACGTCTCAGTAACAACAAGTGTGGAGACGACGGTGCTGTACTTCTTGCGGAGGTGTTGGCCGCACATAACACAACGCTGGTATACCTAGATATGAGCAATAATGGACTCACAAGCGGCAGCATGACATTACTGTTGAAAGCACAGTCAATCACGCAGCTGCACTTGTTCAACAACAAACTTGGTGAGGGTTTGAGTGAGCTGCTGCCTGTTTTGCTGACCAACTCGGTTATTGAAACCTTAGGCGTGGGTGTCAACCAGCTGCACGAAGGTCTGAGCGTCATGCTCTTTGATGCATTACACTCGCACCCGTCTCTGAAGACACTTGAGATGGGAGGCAACACACTCGGTAAAGAAGGGCACGCTGCCCTTGAGAAGCTGAAGGAGGCCAACAGCACACTGGATGTTGCAGTTGACAAGAACGCGCAGAACGAGGATGGCAGCTTTGATTTTCAGGACTAGCAAGCAGTAAAAGACTTTGAATTAGAGTGCTCTGCTTGCTTCAGGCTGAACGATTAAATAGATGGACGCGCAAGTTGCTGTCCTTGATTAAAGCGAAACTTCCTTGTGCTTCTGGCCGTAGCCTTCCTTTTGCAGCTCAAATTTGCTTGGTGTTGTTCACATGCAAGTCTGCAAATGAAGCCCCAATAGAGTCCACCAAAAGCGCCTGTTGGAATGCCACAAGATCTGCATTCATCTCATGCTGCCACTTTTGGACTTCAACTTGAATAGCTTCCAGCTGAGCCAGGGCGTGCACTTCGTCTTCTTCCGTGAGCTTACGCACGTAATCACTCCAGATAGCATAATCATCCTCGAGCTTCAGTACCTTCTTGTGGGTCTCGGTGATACTTGCCTCAAACTTTTCGATCCGCGTTTTCAAAGCCAAGTGATACTCATGAGAATCTTGTACCTTCTTCGCTGCTCGCAGAATGCCAATCATGCAGAACATCGCCGCCAAAAAGACAACGATGGTGATAGCAAAGGAGCTAGCCCAGCCTAATGTCGCTGGCGGCGTTTTTCTTCCTTGAACAACAGCTGATACCTTCGAGGTGAGGCGAGGAGCGGTATCAGGGGTAGTGTCACGCTTGGCACAGTCTGGTGCTACTATCTCGTTGGTTTCGTCATGGCTACTCACAGGTTGACGGTCTTTCAGTGACACCTCCTTGTGACCCTCCACCGGAGCAGCTTCGATTTCTGCGTTAGCAACCGCGGTCACGTCTTCCGTGACCACATCTTTTGAAGCAGCGTCGATCTTCTCTTCGACCACTATTTTCTTTTGAGCCTTAGCAAAAGAAGGATTCAGCTTTGCCCCTAGCTGTGTTGGAGGAAAACGCACTTGATAAGGCTTCGAATGCATATAACGCTCCGGCTCGGGTGATTGCGGTCTGTTATAGATGCCCAAGGCCGACGGATCATCCTTGGTAGCAAAGAGCTTCTCTGCTTCATCAAAACGCCCAGCTTGCTCGTGAGCGTCAAACGAAGCCTGAAATCGAGGGCGGGCATCCTGCTGCAAATTTAGCGACGGTGCCTCTATGCGTTCACCTCGATCCTTTTCTGCAAAACGTAAGAGTTTAGGCTCGTCAATCCTCGCATTTGAATGGTGAGATACGCGAGGCGGACTATGAGCACCTTGCAGACCCAGATAGTTGCTTTCAAGTCTTTCATTCGAATCCATTCTTGTTGTTGCGTGGTACATACCCTGTTCAGGCAATTTCAAAGAGCTGCTTTCTTTCGGTTGCTCACAAGCGACATCATTACTTGGCACTATAAGCGAGCTCCGAGACACACCATCAGCATGCGTCAATCTCTCCATGTAGCGCCCTGCTTTTTTAGGTTCCTTCCATGTCTGGGTATCCTGCTTCAAATGAAATTGTTCTTGCGCTTCTTCGGCAATATCTGCAGCATCGAGCACATTTTGCGCAGGCGTGCTACGTTTTTCGACAAAGTTGCTACCACAACTCTCTTCATTGTTTGTCATCGCTCGAAGATGTGTCATTTCTTTCCGAACATTCAGCAAACCTGCCAGTGCATCGTCACGGTGTCCTCCCAATTTCGCTTCGACGGATAGTCTCTTCTCCCTATCTTCTTCCACTTGAGTATCATTTCGCATCGGACAGTGTCCCTGTAGTTTTAATTTAGCATGCCGATCCATTTCTGACATTTTCGGCTCATTTTCTGTTGCCGTTTCGTTGTTGTCAGCCACATCCACAAGGTTACCACTCACAAGATCGCCAACTTCATTGAGAGAATCGCGCCTGTGTCTGGGCTTTTCATCAACATGCCATTCATCTGAAAAAACATCTCCCTCCTGGTCATCGTCATTCTCCACAGAGCGCTGCTTACCTTCATTTTGTAACCGAATATCATCCAGTCGGCAATGATCCCACTCAATATTAAGCTCTTCGTGATCGCCTACTCCTGTCAGTTCGCCAATGTCATCTTCACCATCGTGCACATAATCAGCATATTGTTCGCGCAGTGGAGATCTCGCTCCTTGGTTGGGCTTACTGACAGACTCTGGTATCGTATCCACTAACCGAAGCTGCTGAGACCCTTTTGGTGCGGTCAGCTTGGGAGACGACAGCAGAGACGAGCACAGTTGCGGTGGCGAATTATTGTGTTCCTGGTGAGCGAGCGTTTGCCGTCTTGGTCGATGTGTCACATTTTCTGTAGATGGCGAGGGAGAACTCGGTGCATCAAGTGAACTCGGAATTGGCTTGCTGAAATACTCGTCGCTTGCACTAAATGGATTCGGCTCGACCGTATCCTCTTCAACATAGGCATTACTACCATGTGTGGAAGGTACCATACTTTCTTGCCCTTTCAACGAGAAGCTTCCTTGACGAGGAGGTCGAGATACCCACAGTTCGGGAGAGCCGCTAGATCTGGTAGGTGATTCCTGGTGCTTCTCACCGTACAAACCTGAAGAGCGATTTGACAAGCCGGAAATCTGAAAGTCCTCAATCTGGACGCTAGAGTGCTGAAGCAAAGTCTCTTCGGCATTGGATGCACTTGAGGCTCGCGTCACAGTCGTTGGACTGTGAATATCAGCTCGAGGACAGGGACTTTCTTCAACCTCTGATGCATTTGACAGCCCGATCTCTTGCTTTGCGTAGAGTACGTGCATTTGTGAGCGACTAAGTATCGTAGCAGTTTCTTCCTGCTGGCAGTCATCGGATCCTCCAAAGACACCAGGATTATCCAATGCACGCCGCACACTTTCACTAATTTCTGTCCCCTCAGGAGCCGGTGCAGTTCTACTGGTCTTCGCGGCGCTCCCTCCACTGCTGCATGGCTTTTGTTCCAAGACTTTTTGCTGTTCGAGATGCGGCGGGGGAGTTGCTGACACATGGATCTCAGTATTTTGCACCGATTTGGGCAATCTAGAGCGCGATTGAGCTAAAATAGCTCGGTTGCGCGATAATGCTCCTAATTTAGTAACAATCTCTGGATGTTTCTCCATGATTGCTGCAGCCAATGGAGAGCTCCGATGCTCCTGGATCAGCAGAGCTTTAGCCTGGTCGGACAACATTTGTCGTAATTCATCCACACGCTCACTCCTTCAAATTCATCACAAACACATACACCGTTCCAGTCAGTCAAAAGGCCATACAATTCCACCTGTCCTAGTAATTACTCGTACCATCTTGACGAAAACCTACAGAGAACATCTCGTGCTGCCTTCCGGACGTCACTATGTTGGCTATTTAGCCCCAATCGGACCATCTCCAGTACGTCTGATTCCCACGGCAGCACTTCTTCATCAGACCAATAGACGAACACAATCCGTAATTGTTCCAGTACCAACACGCAAGTTTTCTCTACAAATTGACAAACAAAGTATCAAAACATCAAAACCCCAACAGCACCAACAGCACCAACTAAAAAAATGTGCTTGAAACCTGCCGTACCTTGCATCGCATTCTCGTAAATCTTCCTGACAATAGCCAAGTCATACCGCACTTTCTCAGACAATCTACTCAATAGCTTTGCTCCTGGTTGACGAATTGCAGCCAGTGTGCTCTTGGACGTGGCAATAATTGAAGGCAATAGAACATTTGCCATCTCTTGAAAATCTCGTCCAGTGACCATGACGATCCGTATCAAATGTTCACAAACATCTTTTACCAATTTGGATCGAATAGCACGAATTTGTACCCCTATATCCCTCTAATACATCATTAATTGTCACACATAATACAAAATTAGTGTCTACGTAGCCTACAAACAACGGTAAAATACCGGTAACACCGTACCGAGAGGCTCAGAAGCAGTCGAACTACATCCTTGTAGTCTTCCAACTGTCCCAGTGACTCCACAGCTGTTGCCAAGTCCTCAATGGATGCACAACAATCGCTCCAGTCGGTCTTGGGCTTCTGTAGTACCTTTTGTGTCTCTTGAATCTGGAAAAATCGTTGTAAAACGTTATAGAGACCGAGATCGACACTGAAAAAGGGGTCAATCGAAAGAGGAGATGCAGTTTTACCTGTAGAATAAGTCGTTCCATGTCTGTAGACGCGATGGAAGCTGCAACTTACCGCTCAGCCGCGTTCAGTCCTTCCGCCTTGTCTCCTTTTGCGCGCTAACTGGCAAACTGCAATTTGCGTTGTAGCAACCTTCAGGTGACATTTTAGACAGTGACATGATGAACTGGGCAAAAGGATACTTAAACCTATGCTGTTGCATATAGATACATTCACTTCAACTTGCACCGATATAAAGCGTAGCAATACTTGCTTGGTCCTTAGTACTTCCCTCTTATCTAGTGTGCACTCATTTGACGCGCCACAAGTCCCTTGTACATACCATTAGGTAGCTGCATAAGTTGGTCGTGTGTGCCCTGTTCCACAATGGCGCCTTCGTGCGTCACGGCAATGAGGTTTGCGTTTCGAATGGTCGAGAGACGATGTGCCACGATAATTGTCGTACGCTGCTTGAGTGACAGCAATCGATCCAGTGACGCCTGCACCACACGCTCGCTCTCATTGTCCAAAGCACTCGTAGCTTCGTCCAGCAACAGCACTGCCGGATCACGCAGGATGGCGCGGGCAATGGCAATACGTTGCTTCTGACCACCAGACACTTGTGCTCCGCGGTCGCCGACATCCGTGTCAAATCCGTACGGGAAGCTGCTGATAAAGTCGAACGCATTGGCCTTCTTTGCTGCTTCAACGATCTCATCGCGAGTCGACCCAGGCTTGCCAAGCTCAATGTTCTCCGCGATTGTACCCGCAAACAGAACTGGCTCCTGGCTCACTAGCGACATGTTCTCGCGTAGCCACTGCAAGTTCAGTTCCTTCAGGTTATGGCCATCCAGTGTTACCTCACCAGCAGTAGGGTCGTAGAATCTCTCTAACAGTGAGATCGCCGTACTCTTGCCACTTCCACTGGCACCCACAAGGGCGACAGTCTGGCCGCGAGCAACTTTCAAGCTATAGTTCTTGTAAATCTTGGCATCAGGACGAGCAGGGTATGTGAACTCAAGGTTACGGAATTCAATGTCGCCGTCGACATGGTCCAACGAGCGTCCAGTGCCAGATGTGGCATCAATAATTGGCTTCCGGTCGATGACCTTAAACACGCGTTGAGCCGAAAGTTTAGCCTTGGCTCCATCGGTCGAGTTTTGAGCAGCCATACCAACGGCAAACGTGCTAAGCATGATTACCATCAGAACCATAAAAAACTCTTTGAATGTGACAACGCCTCGCGAGATCCAGCGTCCGCTAATGTAAAAGAGAAGAGCCATGACTAAAAACTTTGCTCCATGTGAAAATCCGAACGCCACGCCCCCGATGATACCACTTTTGATGTCAACTTGCTTCGACGTGTTCAGGTAGTCCACGTACAACGTGTTAAGCCCCTCTTCCATGCTAAATGAAGCCACCGTTCGAATAGAGCTGATCGCCTCAGAAAGCAAGGAATCTGCCGCCGTGTCTGCGTCATTGTTCTTCTTGTTGCCAGATGTACCTGCCATTACCTGGGCCTGAATATACGAGGATACCACCAACACTGGAAAAGCCGCTAGCAAAATGAGAGTCATCTGCCAACTATAGAAGAACGCAATGCCGAAAGCTATGGTGATCGTGGTGAGGTTCACCAATCCTCTGTTGAGTGTCTCCGAAGTCATAGCCTGCAAAATCGCAGAGTCCGTCGCCAAACGAGATACCAAAGCACCAGAGGTGTTCTCGTCCAAATCAAACCAACCGATTTCTTGGCGCAGCATTGCGCTGAAAGTGGCGAGACGCACACGAGTAATGAGATTCTGTGAGACCACACTAAATCCGTAATGTTGCAAAATATTCGAAAGAGCAAATCCGATTCCCAAGCCAACAAAACCGAGTGACCACCACCGCGCCTCATCCATCATCTTGCTCTTTGTGTAGTCAATGTTAAAGAAAAGCACAGTCACATTCACCAATAGAACGCCCCACACCGGAAACACTGCAGCGTTTGCAATGGCGCCCAGAGAACCAACAAACATGAACTTCCACTCCGGCATCGACATCTTCCACACGCGAGCCATCGAGAAAGGTGGGAGGTCGACGCCTCCTGCTTCGTTGTCATTCGCTGCAACAACACCTTCCTTCCCGGATTTACTGTGTCGGCTAATCAATCGTCCCGAAGATCGGCCAGAACGCAGATGGATGTCGTCAGAAGATTCATTGTTTTCTACAGTGATTACTGCAGCAGCACTTCCTTCTTTCTGCTCAGTCGCATTACGATTCTGAGCTTCCACTAAGAGACGGTAGTGCCCATTTTCCAACTTTAGCAATTCATCGTGTGAGCCAATTTCCACGATCGCACCGCCACTGTGTACTGCAATACGGCTGGCGTTGCGAATAGTGGACAGTCGGTGGGCAATTATGATCGTAGTTCGATTTGAGTTAGCCAGCAGTTTGTCTAGTGATGCTTGCACAATGCGCTCACTTTCCGTGTCGAGAGCACTTGTAGCTTCATCCAACAACAGAATTGGTGGGTTCTTGATGATGGCACGAGCGATAGCAATTCGTTGCTTCTGTCCGCCCGAGAGTTGAGCACCGCGCTCACCCACCTCAGTCTGGAATCCCTGGGGAAATTCCTTGATAAAATTGTACGCATTCGCCATCTTTGCCGCCTCAATAACTTGCTCGTCCGTAGCTGCAGGGCAACCGTAGCGAATGTTTTCCATAATTGACGTTGCAAAGAGCGACGGTTCTTGACCTACCAATCCGACTTGAGAGCGCAACCATTTTGCGTTCAACATACGAACATCTACTCCGTCAACTTTTACTGTACCGCTCAGCGGATCGTAGAAGCGCTCAAGAAGCGATACGATTGTACTCTTGCCACTGCCACTAGGACCAACAAGAGCCACTGTCTCTCCAGGTTCTATTGTCAAGGAGTAGTCACTGCATACTTGCACTTCCGGTCGCGACGGGTAAGCAAAAGTGACTTTCTCAATCTCAATGCGACCCATGACCTTGTCAAGCTTCTTGCCCTCGTCACTAATCGGATCAATAAGTGACGGACGCTTAATAGTTCGAAACACTGAGAACGCTGCAGCACGCGCCAAAGTGATCGCCTCGGCGCTCGGAGCAGCTTGTCCAAGAGCAATGGCGCCCATTATAACTGCAAAAAAAACTGTAATCACTCGACCACCATCATAGCAGCCATTCCCAGTGCATTTGTTGCCATCTAGATTATCATTAGCTACCATCAGTGCACCAAAGTACATTCCACCTGCGTACGTACAGAACACTGTCAAAAACATAAGCCCCGTGCCCCAGCCAACAGCGAAACCCTTTTTAATTCCAGCTGTTGTCGAAATCTTGAGTGCATCTTCATACTTGGTAATAAAGTGGTTGATCGAGTTAAACATGTGCACCGTGCGTACATTACTCAGTGCCTCCTGTGCCACGGCACCAGCTTTTCCATACGATTCAAGACCTTCCTGAGTAGCAGTTGACAAAACCTTCATGGCCAAAAACGCTGTAAAGGCAATAAATGGCGTAAAAGCAAGCAAGATCAGAGCCAGCTTCCAGCCTTTCACCAATCCAATGACGACCCCGGATACAGCCATGGAAAATAAATTGAGTCCGCCTCCAACTTTGTGTCCCATTCCGTCTTGAATCATCACTGTCGCTTCTGCGACACGAGACCCCAATTGCATTGGCTCATTCATATCAAACCAGCCAATTTCTTTGGTTATAATTGCATTAACATATTCACTTCGAATCCGTTTGGCTTGACGTGAAGCTGTTATGGTCCAGCATGCAACTTGAAAGGTTCCAGCTACAAAGACGGCAAGACCGACCCAGACAAAATGGAGTGCAACCTTTCGAATGCCACTCTCAATGTTTGCACCTGAATCTTCTGGATTAAATGTATTGAGAACGTCTCCAAAGAGCACAATTTGAATCGGTTGAGAAACACCGGCAACCAAAGCTCCAATTGTGCCTAACACCATCAACAACTTATCGATACCGTCGGCATATGAAAAAAGTTCAGCCATGGAGACCACTTGACCCTCATGTATTGCAGCTTGTGCCTTATTTAGGCTGCTCTCGTCCGGTTCTTCAAAGCAAGCAAAAGCGACATCAAGACGATTGGTCTCATTTGCATTCTTTGGGGTACTTACTGTTACGTATGTAGCCATTTTATCCACTAAATCAATAAAGAAATTTAGGTTTTAAAAACGTTTGGTTTCGCCAAAACGAAGCAAATTTCTAAATGAAGAAATGTTGTAAGCGAGCTTTTGAATCTATTTATTCTGGGTGATAAATCGGGAGCTTTAGGGTATGGCAACTTTGGTTTTTTGGTTGCGTCGACAAGACGCTGTCTCTTGTTGTTTTATGCATAAATTGCGTGTCACTACGATTACCATGTGGCTTTCTTTGTTTTGATTGGATACACTTCGAATTAACTGGGTACGTGTGTAAAGAAGAGGTCTCAAATAACAAAAGAGAAACGTCGTCGCAACTTCCGTATGGAAAAAAAGGAAACAGCTGGCGAGTCGCAGCATTGGATCCAAAAAGACGTGAATAGTCAGCCAAAAAAAGACCCATTACAATTGGATTATGCAATCTTGTGTGGCCTTTCTGACCAGTTTCCGTATAAGGTCATGCGTACTGTATGTAGCTCATGCCACACGACGTGTACATCGACCAGACGGTCGACCTAGCTGCAGCAGCTTTTTTGTACCGCTGTCGTGGTGTCTCAACGACGATGTGGTATTGTACCCCTGTTGTTAGGTGAGACTGGCGGCTAGAAGGCGTACTTAAAGAAATATAGAAATAACATTTTTAATACCATTTGCCATATCAGTGCGTGATATTAAAAGTGGTAGTTCTTATAGAGGATCGTGCGTAAAATCTAGAAAGTGTAAAGTCAGCTTATCATCTTGTCTTCTACTCGACCTCTTGCTACCTTTGTAACTGCTACACCACCTTATTTCTTCTTACCAAAGAACAATCCCCACTTCTGGTCACCCTCACTGCAACGCACGATCTTTGCTTTCCAGCCATCTACAATGTACTTGAAGTCTGTCTCGCTTGTCTCCGCAATAAAATCTTCCTTGTGCGTTAGCGTACGACTCAATTCTTCCTTCAACACGTCCTCAAACTGTTGTGTACGATCCTCAGCTAGCACATTAGTAAAACCTACCGATTCCAGCATCTTGCCATACTGAGACGGAGACAATAAATGGTATCCGCGGCTAGCCACATATTCTTTGAATCGATCTGTTGATTCCTGCTCGCCCTGGCAGTAGTCCGAGATAAGCACTCGACCGCCTGGCTTCAGCCAACGGAAGAACTTGGCAAATAAAGCCTGTTTGTCTTTAATGTGCAGGATCGTGTCACGAGAGTAGACGACGTCAAAGGATGCATCGGGATACTCCTTCTTCGTGGCGTCACAGATCTCAACCTCCACGTCGATACTCGGATCCTGCATCGATGTCTCGAGAGCACGGTGCACCATGTTTGTGGAGAGGTCAATTCCGACAACAGAGACACCGAACTGACGAGCCATGTAAAAGTCCCCTCCTCCAATGCCACAGCCTACGTCCAGAACTCTCTCACCAGGTTTGAGGTTGAGCTTCTCGACGAACTCGGTAGTGGTCGTTTGGCCACCAGTACTTACATACCCCTGTCCAAAGATCTTCTCATAACGCGTGATACTCTGGTTTGAGTACTGCTGTTCATCCAAGAACTTCTGGAACGTCGAAACGGCCTCATCGTTGCTAGTTAAAGATCTTTCCGTGATGGTCTTTGTGTAGTTGAAGTAGATCTGTCCATTGTTTTTCTTGATTTTGCGGTATGTGGCGACGCTACCAGAGGACTCAAGGGTGAAGTATCCCAAGTCTCCGTTATCTTCCTTGGACACCACGGATCCAAAAGCCCCCACGTAGAACGCAGGATGGCGATAATGCGTCGGATTCGAATTGCGTTTTGCATCTCCTGATTGTCGGAAGCACGACTCACGGAAGAAAAGTTTGCCACCGGGACGTAGCCACTTGATGGCCTTTTTGGCGAATGCCTTGACTTCTTCATCTCCAAGATACATAAAGATCCAATTGGAAAAGATGACGTCAAAAGAGTTTGGCTTGCTCTCAAGTGTGACGACATCTTTACAAAGGAACTCGATGTTCTCCAAGTGGCCATTGGTGTTGACGTTAGCTTCGTGGAAACCTGCAATGAACTCCACAGCTGTAACACTCTTGGCGTTCTTGGCGAGGATAGAGGTGAAACGGCCAATACCAGCCGCAAGCTCCAGCACGTCTTTGCCCTTCATGGAGGGGGCGTGTTCCATGATCTCCGGTATCTCTTGCTCGTGCAGAACTTTGGCGTTTGAGTCGAGCATCATCGTCTCAATGTCCGCACTGGAGCTGTGTTCCGTCCAATATGACTTCATTTGCTGGCGAATCTTGTCGTCCCTTTCGATCTTCATCTTCTTTTCTTGTCTTAAAGTTACTTGATTGTCACGCTTCAAGTTGGGGAATGAACACCAAGTCAGATTCGCACATGTCTATCACCCTGACATCTGCGTGTTCGTGGGTTGCTCATTGAGAATCTTTCCAGTCTCTCCTTACAAAAAACAAGATACTTGCAAGCATTTACAGTGCATTTTCGTTTAGTGGTCTTATCCAATTGAGCAACTGCGTGTTCGAACGCCCATCTCCCTGAATTATGATCAGGAGCACTGCTACGGTGTTAAGCTACACTGCGGAATTGCTTTTTCTGCCAGCTTTGTCAAACGGTTTATCCACTGTCATATGCGAATATAAATACAAGCGCACATATAATACGGGTTTAATCCACTAGACTCAGTAGAAATTGCAATCAGATTCAATGGCGGTTACTGCTTCTCAGTCTGGTCGCACTGCAACTCGATCTACACCCGAGATTTCATCTCGCTCTTCCCTACCTTTGATCTATCAAATCATGCGCTTGAACTTGTCACTGCTTGTGGTATTGAGCACTCTTTTGGCAATCGTAGAAGTACTGAGAGGCCTCATTTCTCTAGCAATCGTAATGAATCATGAGCCTTGACTGAAAACATTCCCATTTTCAAAAGTCTGGGGGTGTACTGCGTATATTATTGCTAGTTGAGCTCGTCCTGAATACCTTGTTCCGTGATAGAATAGATGGCATCCGATTCCGGCAGGATGGGGGAATCGACAACCTTCATAACACGATTCTCACCACGGCCCTTTTTCAGGCGAAGTCTGATGAAGCAAGCGCGTACATAACAACCATGTTACTCAAACACGCAATGGCAAATAGTGTTGTATGACTGCAACAGCATACCTGGTACAAGACGCATGGGCCATGATGTTGCCACCAATGGGCTGAAGCGGGTCCTTGGCAAACATGCCAGAATCTGGATTTGCAGTCATCTGATGCGGCATAAACAGCAAGACTCAGCATTTTTAACAATGAATGGCCAAATAGCAGGCATCTTCAAGTAGGGACATACCTGGTTTGTGATCACGACTGCAACGCCAAATTCGTCGGCCATTTTTGTAAGAGCACGGAGGAATCTAATATCCACAGAGTATCAGAGCACTCAGTAAAATGATACACATGCACAACCACAATACAGCACTTTGCAAACAGCATACTTGGCCAACTCCTGCTGTCGAGCTGCTAGCTCTCCACGGCCTGAATAATCTGTTCTGAAGAGCGCTGTAGCACTATCGACAATCACGAGCGCAAATCGAGACTCTGCCATCATAGCCGACGCTTGAATCAGCAACTGCATCTGATGCTCCGAGTTGTACGCACGCGCAAACGCCACATTGTCCAACACGCTATCACCATCCAAGCCGTATCTCTCTGCAATAGCCTGCAACCTCTGAGGACGGAAGGTGCCTTCTGTGTCGATATACAACGCCTTGCCTTCACCACCACCGCGATCCACCGGCAGCTGGCACGTCACGCAGAGTTGGTGGCACAATTGTGTCTTACCCGTCCGAAACTCTCCAAACAGCTCTGTGATTGAACCCGTCTCAATACCACCTATATAGCAGCAAACAACTGTAATCTCACCCACACCTTCACATTCTCGAACGTTACACTCAGCAGGACGAACGCACCTTTCAACAGTTCATCAACAGCATTGGAGCCCGTCGATAACGTAATCAGATCTTTCCTACTTTCCATCACATCTGTCGCCTTCATACCAACAAAATAGTCCATTAGTCAGCAAAAAAATAATGAAAAAATCCGGCATAGGCTCCGCCTCAATGCTGTTGGATCTGAAATAACTCCCGCACCGTCGTAAAGCCCATGTTAACCAGCTCCCGTGCTGCTTTGAGAATTTTATCTGCCTTCACTTCACTAATGCCTTTTATGCCTACAAGCTGCTTCTTGGTGGCCATCGCCACGGCGTCTACCGTGTGCATTCCGGCCTCCTTGAGCTTGTTAACATCTGTGGTATTAATACCCGCTTGCTCCAGGATATTCACAAGTCGTGGACCTTGCTAATCAATTTTAATATAACGTCATAAGAAACAAATACATAATCAAATTACAATAATGATAATAAAAACTTGCACTTGAATATACAAACTTCACGACTGGAAAAATGATAAGACACCACGTTTATCTCGAGCTAGAAAGGACCCTACCATCTCATGATGCTCGACAGCCATTTCCTGCTCTTCTTCCTGGTACTGGCCATTCATCGTGACGTCTCTTTCTCTCTCTCTTTGCTGCTGGAAGTAAAATGGCTTAAGAGCTTCTAACAACAATTACACACGATAAGCGTCATGACCCAAATTTTGTACCCAAGTGGTTTCGATTCGTACTTAGAGAGAAAAGAAAAACTCCCGATCAAATCAGATGGTGAGCATGAAAGTATCACAACATATTATTGACACTTATATGAAGTGTCAATAAAATTATTAGTATAACTAATAACGTTTGACAATATTATCTTTTCCTATAATATTGTCCCTGCATCTTCATGAAGGTGGAGATGACCTCTAACTGGTTGATATAGACCAATATATCAACCAAGGCGCTGACTCATGACCCGATGGACGCGCGTAATGAGTGGAGGGCAAGTTGTTAACATACATAGTTGAAGTTTAATATAGCTAAAACAAGGTTGTAACAAATAGATTTATTAAATACAGTTTCTTTTTTCTATCTAACCCCTTTGTTGATAAGACTTCCTCTATCACGTGTACGTGAAGTTCTGAGGCACCTGCTTTCACTGTAGTCAGCGAAGGTAGATTTTACTCTAAGAGTATAATCAGAGGGGGCCCCATTACACCTGGTAGCACTTCGTGATCCGTTTAACGACCACCGTATTATCCGCTATAAAATCAGCGGATGAAAGACGTCATTACGCAACGCGTAATGACATCTTTCATTTGAGTGATCTCGAATGGAATGAGGTTCAGCGTATGGCTGAAACCAGGATCGACAATTCTGCCTTTGGTGCCATGTTGCTCTCTCTTAGCGGAGACGAACAACATGCAACATCGACAACTCATACAGCATGAACTTGACGAAGTTGTAAAGAAACTCACCGTGTTTCAGGAGCAACGTTCTCAGACATTGCTTTGTTAAGAGAACAAGGCGCTCAACAAGCTGACTTGTTGATGCAGCTTGTTGCTCAACAGTCTGAACTGCCGGAACAACAGCAGGCTAGTGCTACTGCTGCCGGGTAGACGCATAAACGTCGACCAGACTTCTGTAGTTTGACGTCTCCAAGTACAAGGCAGTCAAAACCACCAAGTCTTGAACCACTCGGTGGTAGCGTTAACGAAACGCGTGGGTGTCTGAGGCTTTTGACATAGAACGAAGTGTAGCCGGTAGAGGCGTGCACGGAGTTATTGAGTGCAAACTTAACAACAGGAAGCATAGAGCTCCAACGCCGAGGCGTATCAGCACAAACGCTGGGGAGGATATCTTCGACAACGCGTTTAACACGTTCAGTTTGACCATCGGTCTGCAAGTTATTCGCTGTGGACATGTCTGATCGGCAGGCCTAGCACCTGGAAGACGAGCTTCCAAAACTTACTTGTGAAGCGTGGATCACGATTAGAAACAATTGCCATGTTGGCGAAACGCTCGATCGATAGAAATCTGTCTGTACCTCACCATCGATCGAGTCTGGCACAGCCGCTAAGTGAGCCATTTTTCTCAAACGGTCAACAAAGACCACAATACCTGTGTTGCCATGCAAATCTTTCGGTAGACCAAACACAAAATCCATACTAAAGGACTCCCAACACCCAGTGTGGACAGGCAAACTAACCAAATGCGCCGCCGAATGGGGCGAGGGTTTCACCCCTTAACGTGTTTCACACGTACGCACATATGTGCCTACCCATTTATACAGCTGGGCCACCAGTAACTTTGGCATACTGCCCCATAGGTCTTTCCACGACCCAAATGACCACCGATGGCTGTGTCATGTATCTCGTGGAGGATCCGATACTTCAGATCCTCATCATGAGGAACCACAATACGCGGTGGATCCGCCACATCTGTAAAACAGTACAACAGCCCCTGACCGATTGAATATTCGATGAAGGCTCGCACGTAATTGTGCCGACAATTTAATGTTCGAGTCTTAAAACTCATCACTGCTAAGATCATGTAGCAGGGCTACACATGGATCGTCTTTAGCGTACGCCATATAATCAAATTCGGTGATAGAAGACGACAAAGTCATAACATGAGCAACTCATAGTCAGGTCTGCGTGACAACGCATCAGCCAAATCGTTTTGCTTGTCCGGCTTGTACTTCACCTCGAAGTCATATTCAGCAAAGAATGATAGCCATCTGGCCATTCTCTGCGATAGATGAGGCGACTGAGTCACAGTGCGTAAAGACACATGATCGGTATAGATCACAAAAGGCTTCGAGCATAGCAGATGAGCTTTGAACTTGACCAGAGCATACTACATTCCAAGTAGCTCTTTGTCATGAACTGGATAGGTCTTTTCTGCAGCTTTCAGCTGGCGAGATTCAAAAGCGATCACGCGCTCACGACCTTCATCATCTATTTGTAACAGAGCACTGCCAATAGAAAAATCCGACGTGTCACATACTACAGTACGCTAAACGGTCGATCAGGGTCTGTCAAAGACAAATATAGGGGCATGATGTTGGCTTGACTCCGCCGCTTGAAAAGCGTCCTCGTGTTCGGCATACCAACACCATTTTTCATCCTTTTTAGAGAGATTAGATAAAAATGGCCGAGCCATAACAGCGTAATTCTCGCTGTACTTATGCAAGTATTTGGCAAGACCAAGCCACATTCGCAAGTCCTTCTAGGACTGTGGAAAAGGCCAACCGACTATGGCTTTGAACTTAGCGGGATCCCCTCTCTGAGGCCTCGCTTTCAAATGAAGCACCCTAGAAAGACAATCTCTTCGGCACCGAAGATGCACTTGAATGCATTAGCATAAAGTTTATTACTCGAGCATAGCTCGTAAATGAACAATGTGGTTATCAGTATCAGACCGCCCATGTTCAGCACGACTACGGACAAAAAATGTCATCGAATTAAGTTTGTGCATCATTTCGATGGGGTCGAAACAATTGCGTCACCAAACGGTTAAACGTAGCCGGAGCATTTGACAGCTCCTGGGGCATCACCAACCACCTCCAGAGCATACTACTTGGAGTACTAACCGCTGTGAACGGAACATCCCTAGCTCGCATGAGCAATTAGTAAAACCATCGACTAAGTCGAGCGCACTTAACATGGTACAACCGACCATATTGTATTAAAGGACATCCTTTTAGGTGTGTGAAGGTGGCCTGCGTCGTGGCTTAGGTGGCGAACGCGGTGAAAATGGAGGTGGTTTGCGTCGGGTCTCTGGTGGTGATCGCGGTGAGAATGAAAGTGGTCTGCGTCGGAATTCTGATGGCGATCGCGAGGAAGGCGGTATGCGATGAGGCAACCGCCGCCGCGGCGGTTGTGTTTGGCTTCTGTGCAGGTATAGTGGAGCATTTGGCTTATTATAAGCATGAACAATACGCCACATACCATTAGGTTTCTTAACACAGAAAGTCGGTGTCGAGTGCGAAAAATTACTTTCGCGCACCATACTCGCCGTGTAATCTGCATGAAAGAACTTTTCAATGACGTTGTGGAGAAGTGCCAGAGAAATGGGGGGCCCTTCGTAGTTATTATAATAACTGGCGGGAAAGATCTCGGTCACTCTCTTGAATGAGTGACAGGAAGTGACCAGGGTCCCGAACTGGTCCAAGGTCCCGAGTTCGGAGAAGATACTAGGATGCCCTACACTACAGACCAAAGGACCAGTGCTGCTAGGACAGCTTAAGTTGACCCCAGGTAACAGGTGGGTCCCAGACAACAGGTGGACCCAGGTGACCGGTGGACCCCAGGCAACAGGTTGACTCAGACAACAGGTGGACCCAGGTGACCGGTGGACCTCCGGTGACAGGTGGACCCCAGGTAACATGTGGACCCCAGGCAACATGCGGACCCCAGGTAACAGGGGCCCAGGGGTACCAGGATACTAGGGCTCAGGGGCCTAGGGGTGCCAGGGTACGGGGCCTAGGGGTACCAGGGTGCCGGGGCCTAGGGGTGCCAGGGTACCGGGGTACCGGGGTACCGGGGCCCAGGGGTACCGGGGCCCAGGGTACCGAGGCCCAGGGGTACCAGGGCCCAATGTCCGAGGGTGCAGAACCGGTACACAGAATATTGAAGATTACAGAAAGTACAGGGTACCAAGGAGCCAGTCCTTCCTCCAAGAGTCGGCACGTGGCACTTTCCAGATCAAAGGGTTAGGGTTAGGCAAGAAAAGCATACAAGGTATAAGATAAATAAACACACTCGAATTTGCATTACACGTGGCAGCTTTAAGCGCCCCTCCTAAGCTTCTCCGTCGCTACACCTCTTCCGGGCGGGATACCCTTTGGCCCCCCGACGTCCAGCAGGTGTTAGACGGCTCAAGCAACGCAAGTTGAACCTCAGGATAGTTGGCCTGAGGTGTCAAGTAAGTGTCAACACTCTACGACCCGCTACAGGAAGCGGTTTCCCTACGGGGAAGAACACAAAGGGGTCCAAGGACCAAGAACAGTCAGCCACCAAAGGGGTACATAGTACCAGGTGCATCGCTCTCGACTAAGTCGATTGATCCCAAGAAACCCGGTCCCAAGTGAAGTATATCCACTCGGGGACCACCAAGTCCAAGTCTTATACAAAGACCAAGTTTAAGTCTTCTACGTCAACCGAGGAGCAAGACCAGCCAAGCCGACGGGTACACAAGGTGAGACCCAAGGCCAACACGACACGGTATCGGGGTACCCCCTCCGTAAGTCGGCAGTCCGGCGCTGTGTGTGTTTGTGGATCTCCTACGTTGTTTGAGAATCCACTCCACCACAATGGTGCGCGTGCCCGGATCTTCGGGAGACGCGGGATTTCACCGTGAGTCCCACGAAGAAGAAAAGACATCGGTCAAGATAGACCAAGGGACAACCAAGACACTGGAAACCGGATCGCCAGTGATCAAGAAGGAAGAAGGATCGGAGGACCTGCAGAGCCCGGGGAGGAGCTCTGCTATTGAGGTCAAGGTGGAATATGAAGAAAAACCACCAAATCCTCCCCCTTATGTCTTCGTTGAAGAAGACAACATGGGCCATAATCAATATTATGGTCCAGGGGTCCCAAGTTTGGCAGCGAAAGCTAAAAAA